GTGGGACTGCCGGCCCTCTGGGTGTAGGACCTCCCGTCCTGGGCTTCTTCAGCGGAGGTCTCCCATCAGCCAGGTCATCATCCACATTATGCTCTGTATGATGAGTGGCACTCTCCTTATCACTCTCGGCTTCTGTCGATGACTCCCGAGGCCTCCGGATGGTAACCCTCTGTTGCCTTCTCACTATACGAGTCTGAGGAGAGGGCGAGTTGCCAGATATGACAGATGGTACCATGTCCCCATCTTTGTTCTTCCATGCTTTGAACAGAAATGTGGGCCCTTCGCCTGTTTCTTGCCGAGCGAGCCAAAACTGGAGCAAGGTAGTGGTGTCCCAAATTTGCAGCTTCGAAGGTTCCTTCAAGTCAACATCCGCCGGAAGATACGTCCGGGCCACGAAGTCATCCTGACTTTGTACAATGGCACTCCATGGCACAACCGCCTTGTCCTTCCCAGAGCATATCCCTTTGTCCATGCATTGAACAATTTGTCAGGTGATGCGACGACAAACTCACGATAATGCGATGTAAGAAAGGCCCTTACTATGGCCTTCTTCTCCTCAAGTTTGGTGTCAGTGATGTCCGGAAGGAGTGGCATACCCTCCCCGTCCATTTCGAGTTCGAAGGCTGGTTTTCGAATTCGTTTTCGACCTCCCTTGACCTGACGTCCTCCATCCCGTGCCCCAGCGCCTATCATTGTGATGCTCAATATGTTCAATCTGGTATACATGGTTCACACACTCACCGAACTGTTCCTGCGCGTACTCCTGCCACACTGGCTCAATGTCCTCCCAGTCCTTCATCTTCATGAAGCTGTCCCCATCTCCTAAGGCCTCATTATCATCATGCCTGCATGAATATTTTGAGACGAAAAATCTCCGTCGATGGATAAATGTACTCACATCCCGAACAGCACCTCGCCCTTTTCATTCTTCCAAGCCGATGTAGAGACTCGTGCATCTCATAGTGTGATATGGCGCTTTACACTAGGGAGTATACAGCACCAACTCGCAGCATCACTCTGTGTACCATCCACAGTGATTCCTATATGACGCGCAGCTTTCCCGCGCAACGCGCGCCATGCACGCACCATTCCCGCGCTTCACGATGTATACGCACGCGCGCGTTCCCGCGCTTGCGCGCCCTATAGCGCCAGCCATCCAGATGCATCCATCCACTGTCCACCAAGCTCCCTAGTGCGTATATTTCCATTTCCTTTATTAGCATAGTTCCACCTTTATTTTTATCATAGTTTCTCACTCATATATATTTTTACATACCTACTCGGTAGCGCTTTGGCTCCGCATGAGCGCGCTTAGGCGCGCTATATAAGCGCCAGCAGTACATACTATTATTTACCTTACTTTTCACCCAACTTTACCTAGTACTTACTACTTAGAAAGTCGCAGTAGAAATCTATTCATTAGCACAACACATCTCACATCCTTTATCTTGCTTATATCTTCACATAAGTTTAGTCTCTCTTATTTTCGCTGACACACGCGCGCTTTCCCGCGCTTCGCGCTAATACGCGCGCGTGTTCCCGCGCCTTCGTACCTTGCGCGCACCTGCGCTTTCTCGCGCTTCGCTGAAGCGCGTACCTCTAGATCTCCGCTGCACCTGCTTCCCCTTTAGGGTCGAATGCACTTGCCATCTCAAGTATCGCAGACTAGGCAACGCACGACCTACAACTTTTTAGATACAGTCAGGAGCATTTCTTTGTTCCTCTCAGTATTGTTGTTTCTACACCGACATCACAAACACTCTCATCCCACATTGCCTCCACATCTCGTTCGAAAAGTGCTCCATATATGCCGGACCCTTCTTACGAGCGACTTGTGCTTGTATCTCTGGAGGCGGACAGTTGTTGGACCACTCTTCGGCTGTTTCTTTAGCCTTCTCCAACTCGTCGTCGTCCAATTCAGCCATGACTCTCTTCACCGCCGCCTGATAATGTTTGAACATACAAGGATCTCCTGGCTTTACCCCGGACTCGTCCTCAATCCTCTTCAGCACCTCTTCGCGTTTTTGCTGGTAGACCACCATCCTGGGAGTCCATTTCCTCCCATACTTGATCATGTCCTTCCTTTCCTTCTTTTTCTTGTTGTTGAACAACCAAGTCTTGTACACCTAAGAGTTGATGAAAGAATGTGACGTTAAAAATTTAGTTTTTCAACGCAACAAAGAAGCCTCACCTGCTTCCTCTTTTTCCATTGTTTTTGGTCCAACTTCGGAGCAAACAACCTGGCCGCCCTTGCTATGGCAGTGAAAATCGCTCGCTTCTCACTCCTTTTGGCAGCAGTCCACTCAGGAAGGTAGTTCTTCAACTCCAAAATCTCCTTGTCCGTGAGCTTCTGAGACTGTGGTTGACGCATCCTGTGTCTTCCGGAAGTCGTGTTGGTGGAATGACCTGTTCTTGCCATAGTGAATCAGAATGCAGAAATGGCTAAGGATTTTCAAGGTGAAAGTATTAATGAATTGTGCGAAGTTGAACTTTGAGCAAAGCCTAATGATAGGTTAATCGGCCCATATTGGACCCTGAACCATTAATGGAAATGAATTTGTAATAAGCCAACAGGACTGCACCGCATCATATTGCAATAACAATTCATTACACCTGAGCTGATGCCTTGCTTGCAACATTAATAAACAAGATGAAGATAGGTAGATGCACCCCAGTGCAAAAATCTCACAGGGTGGAAGCAAGGGGCAGCAAAGGTAGGAAGACTTGGGTCAAGGTCCCACTTGCAAGCATGAGGCGACATGCCTACAGGTCCATGCCTAACTCTCCCCTGGAATCACCAACAATTCAGCCTGTTGAGGCACCGCCTCCTTGGGAATACTTTCCTGACAATACTTACGAGCAGGACCAAGGCTCATTTGAGCCTTTGCAACTCCCAAAAACCATGGCAAGTTCATGTACAATGTTGGAGTGTCATTCAAACTATGGCTAAGCATTCAAAATACAGAGTCAAAATGACTACCTCAGGCAATGGCTGCCAAGGCAGGAATCATATCTACATCACCTCCTCGATCGAGAAGCTCCACCCGAAGACAGGAGATGCATCATCTGCCAACAGGATGGGGTGTACAAATGTCAAGATTGTCTTGGCGAGCCACTTTATTGCACGGGCTGTTGCAGGAGTCAACATTGTAGCAATCCTTTCCACTGGATCAGTCAATGGAATGGGCGATTCTTCGAGCGGAGTTGTCTAGCTCATGTGGGACTCATTATATACCTTGGCCATGATGGCAAACAATGTCCGGCGGTCACCGATCGGTGGAATTTGTTTGAAGAAGATGAACCCGAAGACCTGCTCGAGCCTGAAGATCTGCCATTTGTGTCCGGACCCGAGTTCCAGCCAAAGGAAAACACCATGGTCATCGTGGACAAGTCCAGAGTTCATCGCCTGGAGGTTCGATGCTGTGAATGTCCGAATGCCATGAGTCCGGACATTCAAATGTTTCGACACGGATTTTTCCCTGCATCTTTTAACAGGCCAAAGACTGTGTTCACCTTCAGAGTGCTCAATGATTTTCTACTTGACAGCCTTGAATGCGGCACCTCGGCGATGAACTATTACAGCAAGCTCCGGCGAATGACCTCCAGCATGTTTCCACACCTTGTTCCGGTAATGCCTTACCCTCATGATCTACTGGACATCATATTGACAAAGCACATTGCAAGGACCAATACAGAGAGCTCATGAGGGTCGCTCGACAGTGGAGGCAGTTGAAGACAATGAAATGGCATGGCTTTGGCCATCGTTCTGATAACCCGAGCACAGGAGAACTTGCATTATTTTGCCCGGCATGTCCTCAGCCTGGGATTAATGTGCTGTTGTCAGAGGATGAATCTCTTGATGAGTGAGTCCTATTCTCAACCTATGTGGCCTCCATAATAATACTAGGGATCCAAGCTGGAAATACACCCGGTCATTTGTGATGGACGGAAATTTCAAAGCCGAACATCTGCATCCCATTAAGCCATTCAATGAAGTTTGGCTGTCCGATGGGCTTGGATTCATGGTAGGAAAGGACAGGTATAAAATGCACCTGGCAGAGGCTGCTGACACAGTGGAAAAATCAAGCTGCAACAATCACCGGGCAGTAAATCAAGCTAATGCTGCTCGGCACAAGCTGGAGTCCACCGGTATCAGGGGAGTTGCCTGTGCCAGACATGGTTGCTTTGTCCCTCACTCCATGGTGGATTTTCAGAAAGGCGAAAGGCAAGCCACATCCACCATTCCCCATTCACGAGTTAACCATGGGTCACTTGCAGACAAATGAACATGGACTATGCCCTTTGCGAGGCTTCCCGGCACAACATGGAAGGCATCACCAGGGCTGTCACCTTCTATGATATTAATTGTCAATACAACAAACACTTTTGGGTTCGGGTGGATCGAAGTCAATTTCTAGAAATGGCACCACAACTAACCATCATTCCCGGAATTGGGTTGTGGCACGTTCATGGCCATCAGGACAGCTGCTATGTCCGATATGCTTCTAACTTTATTGAAGGCATTGGTCGGATCGATGGAGAGATCATGGAGACGCTATGGGCACGGCTCAATTTGATCTCCCCTGCTGCTCGGGGAATGTCATCTCCCCACCGAAAGGAATGCCTTGATTATCAGATGAATGACTCCAATTTCTGCAAGATGATTCGCATGAAAAGGACTCTATGCTGGAAATACAAACTGGCTAGGAATGGTATCTTAGAAAGTGGAAAGGCATTCGACAGACTCGATGAAGCAGCACCCTTACATTTCAAGACAGAATGGTTAGCCAGGGAGAGGATAGCTCAGTCAAGCAGATTGAATGATCCTTCAGCCATGGATGAATATGAGATCAATATCAAAAAGGGTACGTTGAGTTCCATTGTCTCCGTCAAGGACTGAATTAATATTGCACTCAGCACCTAGCAAAAAGGAGATCGAGCTTAGATTGTTAGAGGAGGGTAACGCCCGCAATGCAGCACCCTCTCGCAGATCTGTGGCGACATGGATATCAACAGGGTTAGCAATTGAAGAGGCTCAGATTGCATTGCTCATCGAGGTCCGAAGGATCGGAAGAAGATCCACCGAGACACAGAGATTAGACATTGCCCGTCAAAGAGATCGGCTCCAAGGCCAGATAGATGGATTTGCTCGGTCTGCTCTAACACATCTCGGGGAGGGATTTGATGCAGATGATGAACCTGAAGACTTGGACGTAGACATTCTAGATGATCTCGATGATGACCCGGCGGATTTCATAGAGACATCTCACACATGGACAAACTCTCCCGAGCTAACTGTAATCCCATTGCCATCAAACCTGGGGGTTGATAGATGCAGACGATGCATGGCAGAGGATCTGATTCCCCTGGAGATGTCGCTTCGTGAAGGGCAGGCCAATGATGCCCTTCACAATCTCCGCATTTACCTTTGCAACAAGGCCATCCTGTTCCGAACAACCGTTAGGCAGGCCAATTCCCAGGCCCTGAAAACTCGAGCTTGGTCCCAGGTGACATCGGTGCAGCAGGCAGTCTCCCTCCATGCCAGCATATATACAAAGACAAGGAAGCAAATGATGAGACTTGAGCCGGGGCAAGACCAGCTTCAGAAATACAAACCCCTGCTTCGCGAGCAACTCAAAATCAGCACTGCAGTGGGCGACCCAAATGCCTGAGGTCAACGAAATGAATCTTTGGCTTGGTTTTGGTCTGTTGAAGTCGACCTCGGGGGTCCTGATCAATCGTGGAATGAAGAATGTGAGTTCCCGCTTGCATGTCATATCCCGCGGTTACCTGACTGGACCCATGCCAAGTTTACCGAGTCCATTGGCTGAGGGCAAAGGCACTATGGGATCGATGGAGGGAAGAAATGCTATTGGTCACATTCGAGATGGATTGGACATGTAAGTTCTTTTTGTGGAAAACAACCATATGGGGCGAGCACATGCAGGAATCATTGGAGAAACGACTTCCGGGTCACGGATGCTACGCCGGAAGGCAATCCCACATGTATTCATTGCTGGCACAGGATGCGCAGGCAGCTTTTCAAGACCTACAAAATGTGTTGATAGAGGCTGGAGATGAATGAACATTGTTTTCTCATGAAGTCCCTTTTTCCACATACATAATTGACGCCCGGGAATTGTCCGGGTCAGCCCATGTCGGAGTTTGAATTTCGTATCCATCCATCAGTGATTCTTATCTTCACATCTTGACCATCTTTCACTTGTATTGCCAGCGCCATAGTCCTGTATTAGCCATGTCTGCATCTCATGCATCCACTTCTGGCACTCTGAATCCCAGAAGCCATTACCGACCTCTGAAGCTGAGCCTTGCAACTATTTCCTGCACATTGGCAATGGCTGGATCGCGCATCTGTGCAATCATCTCTCAATATCGGACAGAAGCTGCCAACAATGGTCTATCTGCTGACCAGATCAAGTATTTTAAAGCCGGGCTGCAATGGGAGATGAATGTATGTCACCACTGCCCTGATGACTTTGTTGGTCAATGCTAAGAATTTGAGCAGACATTTGTCACACCACTCCTGCAGTACTCCACTTCACAGAATATCGTGTCGGTTCTTCTGGTCCCTGTCGCTTATATCCTTAAGTTGTATCCCATGCTGACCTGGAACACTGTTCCGGACGACGTCTTTTCATTCCACCTCCTTTCATTTCATGATGAGCCAATTGCAGGACATCCGTCCCGGATTGTGTTCGCATATACATGTCCATGGTGGATGGGAAACACCACAATCCCTGATCAACCATGGCAGTGGGATGAAATAATGGCTTCCTGCGTCTCTCACTACCAGTATTGGGCGGTAAGATGTCAGCTGAATTACCTTGATTGATGACTTATCTGTTTCAGCTTAATGTTGAGGATGATGCTTTGGTACTTCCAGAGAAGTTGAAAAACACTTCGACTCCACCACTCATGGGACTGAGATTCATCAAAGAACGCATGGAAGCATTGCTGGAGGAGCAAGATCAGGGCATCGAAGCTAAGATGGGAGAGGTGAAGATGTACACTGACATGTTAGAGAAATTGAGGAAAGGCAAAGGAGTGTAGTCCCATTCACTCTTCATTGTATACAAGATGTAACATATTCTATGCATTCAAAAATCTCACATTCGAGTCCCGGACGCCCAGGTCCCGAGTCCCGAATTTCAGAAGTCGGGGCTCGGAGACCCGGAGCTCGGCAACTGTGTTGGGTGTCAGGGTATCCAGACCATTGGAGATAGCATGTGTCAGTATTTTGCGTTTCATGGTTTATGTTGTGTGAATATGGAATCGGGGATCAGGGACTCGGTATTCAGAACAGTGTCAAGTCCCAGGTCACAAGCTCCGAGTACCGAGTACCGAACCCCGAGTCCCGAGTCCCGAATTTCGGAAGTCGGGGTTCGGCAACCCGGAGCTCGGCAACTGTGTTGGGTGTCAGGGTACTCGGAGCATTGGAGATAGCATTTGTCAGTATTTTAAGTTTCATGGTTTATGTTTCGTGATTATGGAATCAGGTGTCAGGGACTCGGTATTCAGAACAGTGTTGAGTCCCAGGTCATGAGCTCCGAGTCCCAAGTCCCGAAACCCACACCCAGCAGTTGCCGAGCTCCGGGTCGCCGAACCCCGACTTCCGAAATTCGGGACTCGGGACTCGGGACTCGGGGTTCGGGACTCGGGACTCGGAGCTCGTGACCTGGGACTTGACACTGTTCTGAATACCGAGTCCCTGATCCCCGATTCCATATTCACCCAACATAAACCATGAAACGCAAAATACTGACACATGCTATCTCCAATGGTCTGGATACCCTGACACCCAACACAGTTGCCGAGCTCCGGGTCTCCGAACCCCGACCTCCGAAATTCAGGACTCGGGACCTGGGCGTCCGGAACTCGGTATTCAGAACAGTGTCAAGTCCGGAGTCCACAATGTCGGGGTTCAGGGTTTTGTTAAATGTGTATGGCAATAACAAATGTTAATTTGAGCGTATTTATACATCTTCCCCCAGTCTCAAATATCACGTGCTGAGGTCCGGATGTCGGGACTAAGTACCCTGGCACTCAGGACTCCCATATGTCAAGTCCCGAGTTCCAATTATCGAATACCGAGGCTTGCATCCAAATTATTTAGTCCCACATATCACTTGGGAAATGCTCAAAATTGAGTATTGAGGTCCAGATCACAATTGGTACATGGTATTCATTTGTTGGAATGTATATAGGTCACAATGCTTGCTCTTTGTTTGATCTTTCACACGCTGTATGGACCATCCACACTAGCCCATCCACATGATGGAACACCAGCATAAATATGAACAGCATCCCTCATATACCATGCCCAAGCAATCTGATCCCCTTCCACATCATACACTCCATGTCTCACAATCTTTCCGGAAAACGCAATCATACAGCCGGAATTGTACTTGAACTCCAGCTGAAGGTTTGGCATTGTCATCCGAGCATTAGAATAGTCCCCCACGGTGGTGAGAATGTCGAAGCATTCAGCAATGGACATGTGGTCTCGATGATGGGGGGTTTCCCAATTGGAAATAATGGAGAGGGTGTTAAACACGGATGCCCAGTACTGCAGGGCCTCTGGCATCTGTGGCAGATCCTTGCTTACTGCTATATTTCCAAGGTTTGACAAGGTTCTCAACCCTGCCCAGTACTGCTCAGGATGCATGACTCTGAGTGCCGCGGACGCGATGGCTGCTGGCCTTGCAATGGCTTTGAGGATATTCTTGCAGGAAGGTCCCTTCAATGATGCAGATACCTCCGGATCGGACACATTCTTTGGGATTGATAAGTATGACTGCCGGAATCACCATCTCATCAGATCCTACCTCGTGTCCCTGTTGAAACCATGCCAGAGATAGATTGATGCATCTGGGAGTTGCTCCAACATCTTCCGAGCCCCGGTTGAACAACCTTTGATTAGTTCGCCAATTGCCATCAGCCCTTACACTTTTTTCGAGGCTTGGAGAGAGCAAATAGGTGGCCTCCCTGATTTCCTTCTGTAGGTTCCATTAATATTCGATATCCATTGAGTAACAATGTATATTACACACCTGGGTGGTGTCTGTCAGGGCGTCTGGGAGATACCATGCAATGATGGCACCGGATGCATCAAGAATTATTGCAGGTTCATCGACCAACCTTTTGCCTTCATGGCCAGGAGGACACCTCTCAAGCAACCTCGCCTCTTTATGTTCATTATGCCCGGTGTCCTTCGGGGAGATCAATTTGCTATATCTTGCAATATCCATCTGCATCTGAACTGTCATGCAGGAATTTGAATGATAAATAGAATTTTCCGAATCTGCAGGAAGACCCACTGGGATTTTTAGATGCCTTTATGAGTACATCAGCCAAGCGATCGCACGCCATCACCAGATCAGTGTCTAGGTTGGGGGAAGGTATGACTGGGCCTCCTCCAGTCTTCTCTGCCTTGAATTTCTGTTCAGTATATTCCCCTGCTTCATAAGTCACAGTCAGGGCCCAAGTGCGCCAGATGTTTATGCTATCAGGAGGGGAAGGGGAAGAACCGTTCATGCTGGATGTTAATCTTGGGAAATCAGACGCTGAATGCTGGATGTCCGGACTTTGGTGTTATAGGGGGTGGAGATAGAGAGGATCAGATAAGGGAGCCATGGATAATTTTGGCTGCTGTCAAAGATGTATTATTATCCATTGCTCAATGAAATACTACCTGATTGGAAGTGTGCTGGTCATCAGATATTCATTTGTCGACTCCCGGGTCCCGGTACTCGGAAGTCGGTACGGTTGACCCATATTTGGGTGGTCGGAATTTGGTGTCTCATAGGGCAACACAAGCTTCGTACTGCCATATCAGGAGATCACCTGCTGCTCCGGGAACTCGGTAACTGTGATTTATTACCTCCTCTGAGTAAGGTTGACTCGCTGGTCATCAGATATTCATTTGTCGACTCCCGGGTCCCGGAACTCGGAGGTCGGTACGGTTGACCCATATTTGGGTGGTCGGAATTTGGAGTCTCATAGGGCAACACAAGCTTCGCACAGCCATATCAGGAGATCACCTGCTGCTCCGGGAACTCGGTAACTTTGATTTATTACCTCCTCTGAGTACGGTTGACTCACATTTTGGTGGTTGGAACTTGGCTTCTCGTAGGGCAACACAAGCTTTGCACCGCGGATTCCACATTCTGCAAGACAACCTAAGCACCATCAGAGGCCATGTCAAGAGAGCACCTGCTGCTCTCTTCAGAAACATCTCAACTTCGGTTGGCCATTTAACACGGAAAGTATTAACTAAATTATGTGTTGAGTTCCGGGTCCCGGAGGAACTTGGAACTTGGTACAGTTGACTCCAATTCTGGTGGTCAGAACTTGGCTTCTCATAGGGCAACACAAGCTTCGCACCCCGGATTCCACATTCTGCAAGACAACCTGTGCACCATCAAAAAGTATTAACCAACTTATGTGGTGAGTTCCGGGTCCCGGAACTCGGAACTCGGTACAGTTGACTCAAATTCTGGTGGCTGGAACTTGGCGTCTCGTTGGGCAACACAAGCTTCGCACTGCCATGTCAGGAGATCACCTGATGCTCCGGGAACTTGGTAACTTTGATTTATTACCTCCTCTGATTTGGTTGATGTACAACTACCTCAGCTCCATCATGTCTACAATTATGATACACATGGGCCCACCCATCTATATTGTATACCACCCTCGGCCCACCGGTCTAATACAACATCCCATACAACACCCTCGGCCCACCGGTCTAATTAATATGCGTCTGGGCCCACCCATATAATACAATATTTTATAATACCCTCGGCCCACCCGTCTAATTTAATATGTGTCTGGGCCCACCCGTGAATGTGATAACAAGTACATACCCATCTATCTCATACACATCTACCTTAATACACCCATCTGCATAATATCCAGCTACCTCGGCCCACCCGTCTACCTAATATTCATTTACATCGGCCAACTCATCTACTCTATATATTCCCTGCATGGGCCCACCCGCCTCCATTGGGAATAATTTGCCTCCCGGCCCATCCATCATAGTCGAGAATATTTTTATCATGGGCCCATGGTCCGCTGGCCCGTATCATATGGGATATTATGCACGTCCGTTCCCTCGTATTATACGGAGATAGGTCACTGTAGTATGTGCTTATGGGTGGTCTTTCCAGGAGTGAAAGTGTGCATGATCCAGAGAATGTGCCCTCTAGATTGCACATCCAACCACTGGCTACAAAATCCCCTCTTGCTGGCACATCCTCAATTCCTCGCCAGCTATTTTCTCCTGCCATCTTATCCATAAGTCACATGAGTCAATATATGCCTTGGTAAGTTTCCCTGTATGATCTAACACAGGACTAACGTACGAACTCGATAGCCCCTTCTATTTAGCGGTTAGTATCATAGATCTACGTGCTCTTGTGTGAAGTGCTAAATGATCCCCAGGGACCATACACTCCAACCTGGATCCATTCTCCCAACACAGTGACGCGGTGCTATGGGATGCACTGCATCGATCTTGTCTGCTTGATTCTAGTACCACCTCGAAACTGTCATCTTCTAGTGATGGCATCGGGAGTGAGCAAGCTCCCACCAACTGCTATGACCTTGACAGTACTATTGAGAGGGAGGAAATCTCAGCATTGGGGAGAGATCTCTGCTCAGTCTGTCTTGTGCATTGGTGAAAGACGACAGAGTTGTTGTGCTTGATAAAGCCACATTAGTCATGTGTCCTTACAAGCTGGACGTGTTACTAACGAACTCAAAATTATTCCTAGATGTCTCAATTCCATGCTCCTACCTCCCGCTGTGCACGATCCTCGCAATACTTTGTTATTTATCATCTTCTCCCATCGTCTCCTTGCCTATTGTCTCCTTGCCTATCGCCTCCTCACCTATTGCCCCCTCACCTTCCACATCTTCCCCCTCCCTCATCCTCACACTAGATCGCGCACATCGAGTTAATAAAAATTAAACTATGGACTATTAGTAGTACACACCATACATATCAAAAACTAATCACCACCTGCTGATATGTTTGTACTTGCTTGCCCCTCTGCTTCAAGTTTGGGATTCAAGAAAGACGCTAAGATGAAACAGTGAGTAACGCCAACACAAAACACTAAGTCACTTACAGTATTCAGCTGACCCATAGCTCTCAGGTATGTTATTGATTTTGGTATAAGTTAAAGTACAAAGGAAAGAGCTGATTCTTAAATAGTATATATTCATTCCCTGAAATGCTCGTCTTCACACAAGTTCCATGTGGCACCTTCGGCAATGACTCAGTTTTGGCACAAGGTCTTTGAAGAGGACGTTGGCAGGGTAAAAGGTCATTTTGGACCCATTAACACATCAGTTCCTCCAGTTTTATTTTTTCAATGATTTTTATTTGACTACTACCAGTGTGGCCCTCTCTCCATCTGGTGACTAGAGTGAGAGCTCGTGATTCACCTACTCTGCTTGTCTGCTTGGTTTTTTCTTGTGTTCTCTCGTTCTCTCAGATTTCAACTCAGTCTCTCGTCCCTTATGTCTACAGTATCAGTGTTAATTGTTTTGCCTCTCGACTTTAATACAATTTGGCTCGTTTATGCACACATTCTACTAAGTAAGTCGCTTCGTTTGGTTTGATTGCCTTTCGCCGCACTTGCATTCTGAGTTTTCTCCGTTTTTGAAAATTTCAGCCTTGACAAGTATTCATTTTACAATGTTCCATTTCACACTCAGAACCACACATTTCCGCTCACATCACACCAGCACCTTCACATCTGGCAGTAATCGCTGCACCTCCCACATTAGCCACAGCGGACGCTGTACCTCTCGCGCATACACCTCAGCCACAACCGCCACCAAGACCAGCGCCCACCATGCCCACCCACTTCCAGCAAGCCCCAGTGCCAAGCACACACGTCCGGTACACGCCAACAAGTGCTGACACGACTCAGACGTTGACGAATGGGAGCAAGGAGAAGGAAAATGGAGCAGTTGGGAAGAGGAAGTGGACGAATGGACAGAAGGCAGGAAGAAATGGGGAAGTTGGAAGCAGGAAACAGTTTGCAGGAAACAGTTTGCAGGACACAGTGAGCCCACAGACACATGCCAGCGCGCACCTACCAGTGACACCAAACCCAGTGCGACTCTCTGCACACATTCCAACTGGCAGGAAGTACTCAGTACCACGGGCGCGCCATTCACGCACGCCACATCACCGGCGCTTATTCTGGCACACCCATCATTCACACCACCATCACCATCACTCGCACCTCGGTTAGCTTGGACTATGCAGCCCATGCTGCCACCATCAACCACAGCCCTCACTTCGCCATTCACAACCGCATCCATCTCAATGTGCCCCACACCATCAGCGCATGTTTGCGTGCCACTAGCAACACCCATACCACTCGCACCCCCCATCCATCGCCAGCACACGCCATCTCTGAGCGTTCAACCCAATGATACACTGGCAAGTGCCAACGACGAAGTGATGTGATCGCATGGACTCAATGAATTGTGGGACAGCGAGAGGACTGGAGAGAAGTTGGGAGGACGAGGAGGATGGAAAGAGCAGAAGGGAGAGAGAAGGAGAAGGATTAGAGCACCTTGTGACTTGTCATCCCAGTCTGTGAGTGTATTGGTCCTCCTTTGAGCTCGAGCCATGCTGATTGAAGTTGTCGCCCACTGTTTGCAACCTGTGAGTTGTGTCAATCATCCTTCGAGTTCGAGCCATGCTGATCGTTGCCCACTGTTTGCAGTTGGTGAGTGTAGGATCGTTTTTTCATATTTTTAGAATTGCTAGTTTAATATTTATATGTACTATTACCTGCGGGGAAACCCTGCATGGGTGCGGGTAGGAGTGCGAGCTCGTTGTACAAAAACCCATACCCTCCATGCGGGTGTGGGTGCAGGTGAGGTTTCCGACACCCAGGGTTTACCCAGGTGGATATTAATACATACCGATAGCAGAGGTACTTTGTATCATTGCCATTTTGTTGTCCTGTGATTTGTTCTATCCTATGTGCACTGCTTTGAACAATATAATCAAATTTCCTGCATTTTTTGAATTTTTGTAGACTTTGACAAATTCTCGCCCATCCGCAAAGGGACTTGGAGTATTTTAGAGTATTTTAACGATTTGAGACAATTTTTGTATATTAAAAGGCAAGTCAAAATGAGATGCCCCTGTCATAGCTATACATTCTCTAGTATATTTGTTGCATATTTGCAAAATGCATATCAAGATTATGTGACCCCAACACAGTCATATATTCTTTCATATACTTGCTTGATACTTGTAAAAGGCACATCAAAATGAGATCCCCCAGTCATAGCTATACATTCTCTCGCATATTTGCTGCATACTTGCAAGACTTGTATCAAGATTATGTGACCCCGACACAGTCATATATTCTTTCATATACTTGCTTGATACTTGTAAAAGGCACATCAAAATGAGATGCCCCAGTCATAGCTATACATTCTCTCATATATTTGTTGCATACTTGCAAGACATGTATCAAGATTATATATCCTTGGCATAATCATATATTTTTTCATACACATGTTGAGCAAAGATAATAATGTATAATTCTAAAGCTAGATGTATCATAATGGGTTTCATTTGTCAGCTCTACCTGGTCATATCAATTCCAGGTTGATTTCCTGATGTACTGCAGGTACATCCCAAGATCTTTGTGCCACCGTTCTAGTAGGTTCCTATGTATTGCCGAGTCCTGTTGTTTCTCGAGACATGTTTGCCACAGTAGCAAAATTACATGTGGGCTGCAAGACCTATTCTACTTCCCCATGGATGATCAGATCTCAGGGTGTGGGGGGCAGACTTGTTATCCGAACACTGATTTGTTTGCTTTGAGTTTCGCAAGTGGTGTTGCGGTGGTTGTCGAGAAAACAATGTTGTATGAAGGGGTGGTTGACAGAATGACAAGGAGGGGAAATATCACCTGTGCAAGTGATAAGAGAGTGTTTAAAGTCTGAATGCCTCACTCAATGGAAAAGTTGTGAGGACAGTCGCCTCAAGTCGTGCGTCAAGAGTGCATTTGATTTTATTTTTACCAGCTAGCATGCGAGACCCATCAAGCAAGGGCAACAACGTATTCCATGAACCCATTTTGTGGAAGAGGTCGATAATTGAAATTATGCCACTCATGTGAATCGCACTGGACCACTTGTTGGCATCTTCTACAGGGGAGGCTGTTGGAAGAGTAGTACATAGATTGTTCGAGTTCTGAGGCTCATCTCCATGGCCCTGACTTGTTTGTCGGGTGCGCAAAAGATGTAGGAAGCACCTTGTGAGAACTACAAAGCAGCTAGTGTTAGTGCTGCTGTGGTCCGGTTCTGAACCATGGTTCGAACCAGACTTTTGGTCTGGTTCCCCTGTGGTTCGGTCCATGGTTCAGGTGTCAGCCAGAACCAGACCATAGTAAGGTTCTTGGATGGTCCGGTTCTTGGTTCTTGTCCAGGACCCTCTGAACCGGACCAAACCGGACCACAGCAGCACTAGCTAGTGTCTGGAACATGTTCATCCAACAGGGAAAGGGGCTTACAAGCTGCATACAGCAACAGTTTGAAATTGTATGTTACCTGTCTAGAACTCTTCTATGACTTCTGGATATATGGGACGCGTGGTCCCCCTGTCCGGGCATCGATCAGGACCAGGTCTCCCCACCTATGGGGTCCTGTTCTTCTGCCTCGCAAAAAATACCAGGGATAGTCGAGTCAAATTTGAGGTCTGCTGGTATCGCAAAACGACATATGTTTTGAAGGTGGGTTTCAGGTGGGTAGGTCTGCATAAAATAGTGTTCAGTGTCAGATTCATAAAAAACAAACCATCTTCTTACCACACGTAAGTAGTTTGTTGCGGAAATTTGGTTGAAGTGTTTGCTTCTAAACAAATTTACTGCTGCTCGAGCAATAACAATCTTAGGATAGAGAGATATCTCAATTGCAAAAACCTTCAAGTTGAATACATGACTTGAGTGAGTGAGTCTATTATTAGACTCACTGAAGCTCAAACATCAGTATTGTATGGCAGTGTATAATGTTAAAGTCACGTTCACAGCTGGGACATAACATCCGTTAATTGGGTTCTAGGAATCGCATCATCATAGGCCCTTCTCTGAAGTCTCACATGGGTAGCCTGCTCAAATGCATACGCATAGCCGATGAGCTTGAACTCGCTATACGCGGTTCCCATAAAAACAATTCCAAAAGGAAGTCCCGGGGCTTGCGTATAAACTGACGATGGCGTCACAGGAAGTAACTCGACGTCATCTGGCTGGAATCCGAGGGGCACTAAATATTAGATGAATTTGAGTAGGGTTAAGATCACAGTAAGAAGTACCAACCTGAAATCAACGGATACCCTGCGATTGCCGTGGGTGTCGATGCATTTTCGGTTGGTAGAATTATAGCATCGAGATTGAACTGGGCCAGAGTGGCATCAATTCCTCTCGTGCGACCCAAGTCGAAATTTTCGGCTAGTGCTGAAAAGTAAGCATCATCAGCTTGAGAGGCTTCCGATTGCTTGAATCTAGATATCCTGGCTAAAAGCATGTCACGTATGAGATTTGAGCCGACATACTGCGATTGATCATTGTAAAATGGTGGTGGAAGATTGAGGTCCGCACGTTTCTCGCTGAATTCTATCAATGCAGCGAGAGTCTTGACGCCTGTCGGAACGTCGACAAGTTCTGATAGGTATTTGTTAAGATCAAATTTGAAGTCCACGTCCACTACCCGCTTCTCCGCCTTCGATGTCAATAGTTCTTCTGTATCCGGGAAATCCGCAGGATCAACGATTTCCGCGCCCAAAGCTCGAAAGACATCAAGAGATGAGTTGAAGGTCTCCTGGATGACCTTGGTATTACGGATGAAGGAACGAGGCACTCCAAGACGAGCACCTTTAAGGGCGTTTTTGTCGAGCGCTTTCATGTAGTCTGGGACTAGTCCGGGCTGACGTAAAGTAACTTCATCTCGAGGATCAGGCCCAGCCATGAAATTCAACAATAGCGCGGCGTCAGTGACAGAACGACACATCGGGCCAAGAGTATCTTGATGAGATGAGATAGGTATTACTGGCGTTCATAATCAGTCAGGGAATCAGGAAGGCTACCACTAAAAACTTCACCGCCTGAGCGAGATACCAGCCCGATGGTGGGCTTGATGCCCACAACATTGTGCCTGCTACTTGGAGAGACAATAGAGCCATGAGTTTCTGAGCCAAGCGAACCAGCTGCGAGACCAATGGCCATCGCAACACCACTTCCGGAGCTCGAACCAGACGGATGTGCATTCGGGTAGTAGGGGGAAAAAGTTTGTCCCCCACGCTCCGACAAGCCACCGGGAACCTGTCCCTTTAGAAGTCCCCACTCGCCCCTCATACCGGACCACTCAGAGAGGTTTGATTTTCCTATAAATATAGCCCCAGCTTCACGTAATTGTGCAGCAGCAAATGCATCTCGAGGAACAACAGAACCCAGCAGTGCGTAGGAACCTAGGATACCCCCAAAAGCTGTGATCTACAAAATGGCAGGCAGAAGCATAGAATGTACCTGCAGTCGTGTTCATTCCTTATCCAAATATCGATTGATTAATACTGCATGTACATATATAACACCAAATCTCACCTTCTTCGTGCAGCGTAGCAATGTTATCTTTCAACAATAATGGTATTCCGTGCAATGGCCCGCGGCTGCCTTTGTCTTTCCGTTCATTGTCAAGGGCCGCAGCTTGTGATAAAGCCATTGGATTAGTCTCGATGACTGCATGTAATGCAGGACCCTTCAAGTTTACTTCCTCGATTCTGTTCAAGTAGGCCTGTGATTGATTAGACGCTGCATCTGATACGTACTGGAGCAGTAAGAGTCTACCTTGACAAGTTGAACACTAGTGAAGTGTCCTTTGACTAGACCATCTTGAAGTTCCACGATTGAAGCCTCGTAAAGATCAGGCAAAGCGACACCGGACGCCTTGAAAGTCATCAGATTCGAGTAGAGGAAAGATAAGAGCAAGACCTACTAGGTTCGTAGGCTCGGGACCAGCCTAGCTTATATATCCACGGACAAGTCGAGTGACTACGTCAAAATTCCCCACTCTCATGTGACGTACGTCACGAGTGTACTAGGTTCGCTGTTTTCGGAAAATGGTCAAAGATAACTTAGGTAGTCACATCCACGGACACCCGACAGTCATGATGATCCAAATATGAATCCTGGGTAAAGGAATGACTGTCTTTTCGGTTGTCACGGGTCCTTGAGTTGAGAGGATCGTGAGAACATTTCACGATGAAAGCATTTAAGCTGCGACATTGATGATCGATGAGTCTCCACAGACAGTGCGCTGTTATAGAGCTTGGACACAGGCTAACTCGTTGCTAGTCCATTCAAAATCATGATGCTTATCCTGGCGTACTAGTATGCTGCTGAATCTGCACAAATATTATTTGTGCCCCCCCGAAATAAAAAGTGTGCCCCCCCCGAAATTGAATTTGTGTGACACCCCGAAAAAGGAAATTGTGTCGCCCCAAAAACTATTGTGTGTCGCCCCAAAAACACGCCAAAAAAAAGTATGAAAATTCAGAATAGTACTTTATTGAAGGCAAACTTGAGTGAACGATTGTAGACTACATCAGCAAACTACTGTACTCCTTGTGAGCTTATGGATTTTCGAGCACAAAGGTCAAAAGACATGTCACCATCCTGAGTTACAGGTCACATCAGGTGATGTTATTTCACACAATATAATCTGCATTTGGCAGGAACTGAACCCAAGACCAGAGCGATTAGAGGTGTAGCATGATAACCACTTAGCCACGGGACCGTTCATATACCTCCTTAATAATAGCAATACATGCATGAACTGTCACATGACCAAAATGCGAAAATTCTATCAAGTCAGTCTAGTCAATTATCACTGCAACACTATCATTCTATTTACTACATAAATAAAACTACAGTAGCTTCACATAGTTGCAATAGAATGATAAACTAATGTACTCAATATATATCCTATTTAATTTTCACTCAGTCAATATATCTTTTTCAGGATTATGAGCATTACATGGATAGGGTGTTCAGAGTGGTCTGATTATTTCGGAACACTCCAGTGGTTATATATATACTTGAACTACCTGCCACATTACTTAAGCTCTGACTTTCCTCTCCGCTAGTCTTTATCTGACGTGTCCTCAGGATGGTACATGGATGGCTCATATACCTCAACACTCCCCCTCAGACTGAGGATCACATACCCAGTTGAGTTCTATGTCTCTCATGGCTGGGTTTAGGTAGTGCTTTGGTAAAAATATCGGCTGTCATTTGTGCTGTGGGCTTGTAGACTACACTGATTCATTTCTTGTGTACTTGGCTCCAAATATAGTGATGCTTTATGTCAAAATGCTTCGTCTGTTTGTGATACTGCGGATTCTGAGCAATAGCTAATGCACTTATATTGTCCCCATAGATCAATGTGGGACCATTTTGCTCATTCCCCAGTTCTTTATGCAAGTTTCGGAGCCATGTTGCCTCTCTCGCTGCATCCGAAAGGCAAATGTACTCTGTGTCACAACCCAATAACGAATTAACGCTGGGCAGAGACTAGGACTCAAACAACAGAATAATCACACAGAGGAGGTAGGCAGCAGGTACGTCTTGGTATTGCTCACTTGGAGACACAAGAGGTTTGAACTAAAGAACTACTGACTACGATGAGCTACCTATATACACATATTGAAACTGAGATCGAAACTGAGTATGAACTAACTAACCAATCAGAATATTTAAAGGTATCATATGATTCTATATATAACTATGATGTCATAACATGTGCCGCAGCCGCAGTAAGACTCTGGAACATTCCAAGAGTATCGCGAGGCATGACATCAACATCTTCGGCTTTGTCCGATAGATCACGTAACTCTGGTAATTCTACAATAGACGCAATAATAGGAACTTCTTCAACAGTAAACACATTCTTAGGAACAGGCGCTGTGACTGGGCGCTTAAAGGACTTAGAATTAAGGAATGAATAATGGTTTGTATTTGGAACTCGTGACATTACCCCCTCTCTAGGATGAGCGTCATCGCGAATGAAACTAGGACGAATAAACTTCTTGCGCCATTCCAAAAACTCTTGGGTTTCGAACACCGATTTGTTTATTTTGCGGGGATTCAATGCCTTCGGATTTTGCCGGTGAAATTCTTGAACTTTCAACCGTGCATTCTCAAGATTTTCCTCAGGTTCCCATGTCGCTTCTTCTATCGGATATCCTTCCCATTCTACTAGGTATTGGAGTTTTGATCTGTGCAGTCTCGAGTCTAGGACTTTTCGTACTGTCCATTCAGAATCGCCTTCTGATAAGATCTCTGGCGGTGGACGATGATGTGGAAGTCTTTGGACTAAGGTCGAGGGGGAATGCGGAGTGAGTAATTCTACATGGAATACCGGATGAATCTGATATTTTGCTGGAAGTTTCAGGCGGTAATTTACATCACCCGTCTTCTCTAGCACTTCAAACGGACCAAGTCGTCGATCGGAGAGTTTCTTATTTGGTCTTTTCTGACGGATATTTTTGGCATTAAGCCTGACCAAATCTCCTTTCTTGAATTGTGGTGCGTCTTTTACTCCTTTATCGTAGAATCTCTTCATTCGCTCATTCACCATTCGCAGCATACTTTCTGCGTCTTCCTTCGCCTCCTTCATTACATCCACTCGTTCATCAGCTGCAGGTACTTTAGAGTTGGAAATTGGTGAAAAAGTAAACTCTGGATCATATCTGTAGAGTACTTTGAATGGACTATGACCCGTTACAGTGACAGAGTTGTTGTGAGCGAATTCTGCTATCGGAAGCCAGTCTACCCAATCATTTTGGCGGTAAGACGTGAACATTCTCAGATATTGCTCTACTTCTTGATTGATTCTCTCTGTTTGTCCGTCTGTCTGAGGATGATAAGCCATCGACATGTTCCATTTTATGCCTAGGCATTTCGACATTTGTCCCATAAACTTGGAGACAAATTGTGTTCCTCTGTCCGATATCACCTGTTTCGGAGTTCCATGGTGTTTCCATACATTATCTAAGAAAAGTTTCGCGATTCCTCGAGCGTCAACTTCCTTTTTCGTAGGCATGATGTGCGTTTGTTTCGTATATCGATCAACGACAACAAAAATAGAGTCGAACCCTTCGCTTTTAGGCAAATCCACTATCAAATCACAAGTGATTGATTGCCAAGGTCCCACTGGTATTTCATTTGGTTTAAGCGGACCATGTGGTTGCGTTGGGTGAATCTTCGTTGCTCCCTGCAGGTGCACATAAATAGTTGTAAAATATGTGTAATATTGGCACTAAATAATCATTATTCATAATGGTGATGTATCCAAGGTAATATATTATCAAATACAAGCACTTCTCGACCATGATGGTCACAAGTAGTCACCTCTGGATACCTGCTGCCTAATCTGAACTTCGCGATGATTGATTGTAGGGACGACATAACATTGAAATCATTTGATCGTTCCGCATAGTTTTGATGTGTCTACGATAATTACTGCCATTCTGCCAGTGTAAAGACTGAGCGTCCCAACAATGCGACGGACCCACCACACCGCTACACCATCCCAGTCAGAATGAAGCTCGAGTGCAATGTAATCCAACTGCCATGGCACCTATTCCACAAGGGAGAACCTCTGAAGCGGTGAATTGTCGGTGTGTGGAGATCAATGGCCAATTTTTCTGTTCACCCACCATACATATGACACAGAAGACCCGTGGTGTGGGCTTCTTAGGAGCCGCTTGCTGGTATGCGTGAGTGGAAACATTTTTCCGTAGTTCTTCACTACATTTATTGATACCAGGCCTACAAACACATCTTCACATCCCCAAGTTCAGTCGACAAAGAACCAAAAGCTACGCGGTCCAGAAATGCTCGCCTCCATGGGATGAATTCCATCACCATCGCTTCCATTGCCTATGTTGCAACTCAGGTTCGTTGATTCCATGTATTTATAGCTAAGTGTTTTAATATACATGCAATTCAAGGTTCGATTCGCTATAAGCTCCTCTTCGGTGTTCTCGCGGACCGACACTACTACGGACTCGGAGACCTTTTATCATAGCCTTCTTGATCTTTTTGAGGATCCTGATGAATCGAAGGAGGTTGAGGAGCTACTGACATGGTGGAATCAGTATGGTTATCTTTCTTTACCATTTCGTTGAAGCTCATATTGCTATGTACCCAGTCAAGTTTTTCCTACTTCCTCTGCTGCCAAGCGATCAGTCAGCACCAACAGCGCCTTATCAAAAATCTGACTCAAGCGCCTTGCGGCCAAACAAGCAGCAGATTCAAATAGAGTCTCTTCATAGTTTTCGTGTCCTCATGTAGTAAATATAAGTAATACTTAATACGAATATCTTGTGACTATTGAGACCAAGCTAGCACATTGAAGTGATTACCTTCAAATGACCTGAAATGACAAAATACCTGAAACCCTGTTGTTAAATAATAATAAGCTCTCATGATATAGCACAATGGTCTCCTATGCAATACTGATCCATGTGAGCATGCCCTGCAAGATAACTGATCTGCAGCTAAACTCTGCTCAAGCTAAGATCATTGAACATGACCAGCTAAGATGTAACATGATGACTGAACCTCAGCAACCAGCTGAGGGATGACACTATGTTGTCATTGCTCCACAGCTTTGGACAAAAGGCAGCTTGATCAGAAACAGTCTAGTATTTGAAGACGGTATCTGATGCTGGCATTTGTCCAGAGTTCACAAAGAATAAATTATCTCACTTGCCTTATATTTGATGACAGAACCTCACCAGCCAGCTGAGGGACGGCACTATGTTGTCATCACTCCACAGTATTGGAATAAAGGCAATTCAATCAGAAATAGCCTAGTCTTCGAAGACTGTATCCAGCACTGGCATTTATCCAGAGTTTGTGAGGAATAAAGTAACTCCCTTGCCTTATATCTTGTGATCATAAATCATAATTATTGAAAAGGATGATAGGAGAGTGTCATTTGTTATCCAAATTGTACACTTAGTGGAACTTGGCAACCCAGTCTGGCATTGCAAGTTGGCATCATATTGAGATATCAAGGCACTACACTATAATCACATAACATCTTTGGGGCATTGGCAGCTTTGATCCAACACAGTCCGGCCATATAAAGCTTGATCAGACTTAGACATTCATCTGGAGATTGTGAAGGAAGAAAAAGTAGTCAAAGGTTACATTGGGCAGGAATAATTGTAGCAAATTACAACTAATACACAGCTAGATAACTGGTGGTGACTTCTAACAACTAAATATTCCCTTGTCAGGGCTGGTGGCTTTTGCAGCTTTGATCCGACACAGTCCAGCCATATAAAGTTTGATCAGACTTAAACATTCATCTGGAGATTGTGAAGGAAGAAAAAATGGTCAAAGGTTACATTGGGCAGGAATAATTGTAGCAAATTGCAACTAATACACAGCTAGATAACTGGTGGTGACTTCTAACAACTAAATATTCCCTTGTCAGGGCTGGTGGCTTTTGCAGCTTTGATCCGACACAGTCCGGCCATATAAAGTTTGATCAGACTTAAACATTCATCTGGAGATTGTGAAGGAAGAAAAAATGGTCAAAGGTTACATTGGGCAGGAATAGTTGTAGCAAATTGCAACTAATACACAGCTAGATAACTGGTGGTGACTTCTAACAACTAAATATTCCCTTGTCAGGGCTGGCGGCTTTTGCAACCTGTCCCATTGTGATGATAAGCTGGCAGGTGGTTGCAGTGAGATTATCACCAATGTGCATTTGGTGAGTTCTATCCAACTAAGTCCAGGTATTTAAAGCTTTCTCATTTGGAGTAAAATTCTGACAGATTTTATATGCATTTTACTTTAGATAATTCTTTGTCAACCTTTATCTTTTTCACGTCGGTTCCCTGATGTGGCAAGCAGGCACCATGGGCATCAAAGAAATACCACAGCCATCAGGTGTTACCTACAACAATAATGAGAGATTTGGCGGAGGCAGGCTTAGGTTCACAAACAGATAGAACAGATATGTAGTATTAGTTTGGATAATATTCATAGGTGAGTCAGTGCAGCTTGAAAGTTGATTCAGATGGTGGTGTCACAAAACATCACAAAAGGTCACAACAATGTCACGTCATGTGATGTCGTTGTGTTTGGATGAGGTCTATCTTGGAGGCAGAAGAGTGAAATTATGGATCATATTCAGGTAGTCTTCCAGTAGTATACATACTAGTCTACAATTGTCACTCAAGTTTGCTTTCAATAAAATACTATTCTGAAATTTTCATACTTTTTTTTTGGGCATCACACTTTTGTTTTCGGGGCGGCATGATATAATTTCGGGGCGACACATGTTGCAGTTTTCGGGGCGACACAATTTCCTTTTTCGGGGTGTCACACAAATTCAATTTCGGGGGGGGCACAAATAATATTTGTGCAGATTCAGCAGCATATACTAGCACTTCGATTCCTGGCCGCGGTGATGACACAGTGCCTTCAGGTGTGGGATGTTCAAGTGAATGTCATTCTGCTCTTGGGACCTGGCTAGGGGGACATCTGCGCTGGTTTCCTGGATACAAAAGACAGATCCATCGTAACTGCATTCAGTTTCATGAATAATGGATGACCGCGCCACGTCCATGAGTCACTCGAAACTGTCGGAGCTCCTTTCAAAAGGCACACCGGTACCATCTATGGTCTAGTACTCTTAATACCTGTCATGTCTCCCACCTCTCGCCCACCTAGACCTTTGTCTACAAGTGACGTACATGTTTTTCTTCACTTCCTACGCAAGCTCCTTCCCTCCTCTCTGGTACGGACGCAGTTCGCACCAATGAGCCTCGTCCACTAAATGTGTTTTTTCTACCTATTTGCTACCCAGTTGACTTGACGGTTCCGTTGCAGTTCCCGACTACATTTCCCCTACCTCGTTCGCTTATAAAACTCGAGTGGGGACTTTCATATTCAACTTACGCTTTTTTAGTCTTGGTCCAGGCACCACCACCACCCAATCCTCTGTCATCAATACTTTCGCAACCCTCAAATTCAGCTCACATCAACTTGGTAGCCCTTTCAGGCAAATCATACATCATTGACTGTCGTTCAGGTACTCTCGAGCCGGGTAAACAGATATGGGTGTCTCGTCTTTCTCGTCGTACCCCAATTCTCATGCATCCATGTATAACGAAACACTGCAGCGGGTGCTACCGGCAATGGTGATATCCTGATACGCAACGAAGACTATGTTTCCCCTCCCCTCTCCTTCCTCCAATCCCGGCATACGCCTAGGGATTGTCCACGCCGGACAACATGGAAGCAGCCGCTTTTGTTTCTGCTTCCAACTGATTTCGAACTTGTTCTCCGTCCGATATCTTATAAATTTAGTTGTTGCTCGTTGCATGCATTGTCTTCCCTATACTTGTATCGAATTCATGGTCACTACAAATCCAAAGCGCTTGAGATATATCCACAGGACCTCTGGGATGTCGCGTGTAAATCAGCCAACAAAATGAAGCAAAAACTTCCGTTTTCCGATTGGAGACACGGGGATGTAAAGCCCTGTTGAGTCGTCCCGCAGTAATACTGATGCAAATACAGTCGCTACAGACCTCGTTCAGCAGATATTCTAATGAACTCTGTATAATGCATGATAGACGCACCCAGCCTTTCTGCCATTTCCGCTTGATTCGTCGATGATTGTGACGACAGTTTTTGCAGGGACATATAATGGAGGAATGCAGTAAGCGAGATCCATACCTAGGAAGAGTTAACAAGAGGTGTGTGTGCACCATGTGTGGAACCTTACATTGACTGATTCAGGAGGAAATTCATCCAGTAGCTGGGACTCGCATAAAGACTATCCAAGATACTGGAGTTTTGTGAACGTACCTCGAATGCCTCGTCTCTACTTGTCATTTGCAGACACCGCGCATGGAGGTACGGGGGCACCACAGGATCTACCAACGAGTCCAATAACTGTACCAACGTAGATACAATGGCAGTCGTCAGCGGACCGTGTTCTTCTCCAGACTGGGGGGATGGGAATTGATCTCCTGTATCAAGACACTATGAACAGTTATTAACACATGCATGAATGTCGAAGATGACTCGTAAATACCTCTCTGAAGTTTATGCATATGCTCTCTTCAATAAGACCATTGAATAAATCACTCTAGAGCGCCATTAGGACATGCAGTCAGAACCTTTATGGCACGAACTGGATCGGTGACATAGGTCATCAACCAATTGATCAATCTCATGATCTCCCTCGGAGCGTTTACTAACTGCTGGGCAGGCATCTGATCGTTCGGAGACTTCATAGATCGCACGGGACAGGGAAGTCGTGTAAGTCTGGCAAGCTTGTTTGCGAAGCAAGTATATTCTGTGCTTGTCATATTCAGTGAGTATATCATGCTGAACAGGAATGGGCGTACGGTATTCGCCGGTGACCGAGATGAAGTGATCTTTCCCTAGAGCAGTATGCAGTATGAGGGTAAAATCCAAGCGGGGCGGTAAAAGATTCAGCCGTGACGCAGACGAGTTATCGACGAACACTGTGACGGTGATAGTCGACGATTCACCCGGACGAAATAGGCCCTGCAAAGAAAGAAGTTTGCGGGTTAGCCTGAGCTTGACAGTACGAGGATGCCTCGCACCACCACAGGATCAATCTTAAGCCATTCTGGACCTTTAATACGACATATTAATTGGTGACACGAGAGCTCAGGTGTTGCTTACAGATTGGCTGTTCAACATCTGCAGTGACAAATCGATAAACACAGGGGATCTGGAAATCATAATCATCGAAGGTTGTGCAAATTACTGAGTCAACTTGCCTGTCCATTATTCTGAATGGATAACGTTTGTCGGATTAGACGCCTGTAACTTTGAGCCAAACTTCAGTCATCACCAACTAGGAGGTGCAAGAGCCTACTAGACTTTTCCAAAGTCCAATTTCATTGGCTGCAGCTTGATTTTCGGTATTTCGGAAGAATGTTCCACGCCCCATAACTCCCGATACAGCTTCGAGGCGGCGATCTCACGTCTCTGCTTGTCAACGATTGATACCTGATAAACATCGAGCATGAATGGATCGTCATGGCATTGTGGACAGAAAACACACGTTTAAATCAAAATCAGCGGATACTGGACGATGATCACTCAATGTTATTTGAGGATGGCTGCAGTATGAACGTTGGGCGACTGGAACACTTGGAGCTGACATATGTAATATGCGGTCCGTCCATGCGGGTTTGCGCCTAACAGGATAAGTCAACTGCTCTAATAGTAAGCCAATTGCGAAAACCACTCACTTTCGATCATATCCCAGAGAATCTTCTGATGTATTTGACGCGTATCTGTACGAACTACCACGCCCAGCGATTGAATTTATGTAATTATTCGGCAGGAAACTACGCACGGCATATGTGTAATTGCATGCTCCGAGAACTCGGCAAATGCTTTCCCGCTTGCGATAGCCATCTTCAACTGAGTGCTCGATACAATCAGCACGGTGATCAATTATGTCAGTCATCATCTAACCTGATCATACTTAAGCAAAAGTGGGACGTTACCCGGGCCTGGAAAAGATGTTAGTAGTTCTCTGACGTCCCCGTCCGCAAGATCTATCCTGTAATTCAAATCTGTGACGGCCAAATTAATCATTCATCTCGTGAGGTAATAATCAACCAACCTCCCTAAAGTTCCAAAAGTGTAAGTGAGGTAATGGAGAGGGCAAGTTACAACGCACCATCCAGAATAATACGTCACTTTCAAACAACCCAACAGGCCTTCTCGAAGTTTCCGATGCGGTGTTCGCATAAGAATTAGAATCAAGCTCGTCAGTCTGATCAAAGACTAGGCGCCTGGAAAGATCGTGGAAGTCAAAGTTTCGCCTCTCTATCATTTCATCGAATGCTGCGAGATGTGCGTTAACAAAAGTGAGTACTGTGGGACTTGCGGAGATCTCTTGGGCTAAAGGTGTGTATGACATCCGTATTGCTGTTGCACCTTTATTGCCCTGCAGGATAAATGTTGATTAAATGCCACAGAAATCATGTTTATGCCTATACCATAATGCCCATGATTCCTGCACCAGCGGTGCTAAATCTGATGTCACTAAAGCATGACAGACGCGACTTCTTCGCAATTGCAACGATCAGCATGCCAACCAGCTGTTTGGAAGCGAGCTGACGGACATTATATATCGTATTGCAGTAGATACATAAATAAAACACGATACCTTCTCGTAGAGAATGCCTCTCTCACCCAACCCAGCCAAGATGGCTTCCACCCACGCATCTTCCCTGACGGTACTGGTAGCATACAAAAGGGCTTCGGTTGAAAGGTCTAGTTCTTGGAAGCCTAGCACAAGGAGATCTGGATCAGAGACCTTTGCGTCGTTGTTCAAACTTGCATGAGCTAGTGTGGCAGAAGAAGCTCCTAGGCTGGTGGTCATATCTAAATCAAGGAGTGAGGTGCAATCAATGACAAATTGACATGGTGACAAAACGTCACTGACGTTCATCAACTGGGTTTGGAAGTATGTCGAGTGGTGATATGGATTTCAAAGGTGAGATCCATCCCGATATCTCTGAATTCCGCTTTGTTTGTCTGAGCCAGGGCGATAGGTCCTGCGACGGCATTTTTCCATTGACATTGAATGTCCCCGTGCGGATGCTGTTCATGAGCGAAGTTGCCCGTTAAAATAATTCAAGAACAGTATTAGCGAGCATACAGCAGGCGCGCCGATGACCCAGTGAAAGCTTCTTCAATAGCTTTGTTATAGATCCAATTTTCGCGAACAATGCTGATATCATCCGCATCGTCTCCTGGAAGACCCGCACTTGCCGGCGAAAGTCGCGTATGCAACGGTGCATTGACCATGCGCAAATCTATAGGAGATGAAAAGGCTAGTATCAAGTCAGCTCGTGTATTTACATTTACGTGATCGGAGGTATCGTACATTTCAAAGAGCTCTCTTGCGTGTAAAGTGATAGCCAAGAGAAATCAGCATCGAATTCATGTCTAGCTACAATTAGTAGATACACTGGTAAGTCAATATAGGGGACGTAAAAGAAGGACAGCTGACTGAACATGTCCTTCAAACGTCTGCATTCTGCAGTGAAGGACTGCAATTTCCTCGTATCTCGTGTGATTAAAGTATGGCTTCGTGTTTCAGTAGCCAGTTCATACTTTATAGTCAAAGTAAGTTCTGTCGATGCGATGAGAATGCGACTTATTGTATTAGCCGCATTTACACACCTGATCTCGACTGACCTAGCGTAGCGGCAGTCTCTCCCCCAGATGCGCGAAGGTCTAAAGTTTTTCTCCTTGCTTGTGCAACAGAGAACGAAAAACTTCCAGAAATCGGATACGCAACTTCCACACTCAAGTCCTCGATAGAGCGACCCGGTGTGCGCTTGAAAATAAGAACGCTTCTCAGAGTCAGCACAAAGTTGAACGAGCGGAGCTTAGTAGAAGCATCTGTACGGCAGGAAAGGGACCCTGACGTATCCCACTTCTAGCATAAAAACAACAGATCCTGCGCGAGAACCATTGACACAGGAAGCAAGTTACACACCTGCCTTCTTCATCTCCCACGTATTCCCTTCTGTGCGATACAACGGCCAGAATGCGTCTGGATCGGTCATCTGTAGAAGAACTTGAAAGGTCACCGCGTTCTTGAAGTTGTGTGACCTCGACTTCGAGTGCCGCCTTGAGATTCTCAGATGATCGCAGAAGGGATTGAACTGTGGCTTCCATTATCCCATTCATAGGTGGGTGGTCTAGATGACTTCACTTCCTAAAGAAATCTTCACCTGTTGTCAAAGGGTTATTGTAAGTACAAAGGTGTAGCTCTGCTACCGTGGAGCCATGTGACTGATGTGACCACGTGCGTCTTAATGATATTCTCACGTTTCCCCGCAAAGTTCTTTCTTTGGAACTGGGGATGGGCAGCCTGTCCAGAGCCTCAGTGAGCGTCAGACGACATTGAAGTCTGTCAGAAACAATTGGGTTAGTACGAACGGCCGCAGCACCGTAGTGAAACAAGAAAGGTACAACCATTTGATTGACGTGCCCTAGATGGAACAAAAACTAACAAAAAGTCGTTGTTCCGGTCACGAGCCTCGTCGATCGTAGATTTGTCTCGAATCTTTACCTTTGTAAGTTATAGTCACAGGTGGCGTGAGGCAAAGCACTGCAGGTTATAAAAGCAGACTACTACGTCTTCCGATTTCTTACATCCAATTTTATTTTCCCAACACACGACCACTTTGATCCCCAACAGACCTCATCACTACAAAGGCTCATCATGACTCGCACAGAACGCGCTGGCTTCCCTCGTGCTTTATTACGGGATCGCTCTGAGTCCAAGTCCGGCCTCGACAAGTCCGTTCGAAAGAATGGCAGTGGCCAACACAATTGGGGTAGTATCAACGATGAACGCTACCTCGAGGCCGCCGCACTTGCAGACGAGGAGGAGGAAGAATTCGAGGAAAATACCACAGGCCAGCAACGCAATAATTGTACGTAATGACTGCACTGTCATGCTCCACGCTCATCACGGTGCTCTAGCCGTTCACGAGAAGCCCAAACCCGAGAAACGGATCAACTCCTTCACGGAGGAAGAAAGGGAGAGTGCTAGGCAGATTAGGAAGAACGCACTCAAGGCACAAGGTCGGTCACTGTACGGAATGTGACACATGCAACAGCTAATTGTTATCTTGTCTATTAGACCTCGATTTGTCTATGATTGCACGCACTTCTTCCGCTGCGTCTACATCTCCACCCACCAGGTCGCCTCCGGTCTCCATTACTGGCAGTGCAGAGGTACGTCGTTTTTTTGACGCCAGACAGAGGACCCAACATTTTTGTGTCAGACGGCCAGCATAAGGTCAGCATGAAGCGGATGCGAAACTGTCTGCTCAACATTTTACTTCGTGTTGACGATTTACGTCAAAATTACCGCAAAAAAACATACATAACACGCTTGTTCCTGTAATTGTACAAATTGTACTGTCACTGTTAAATTGTATTATGTCAAACACACTCCCCTCGGATCTTTGCCATACTGCGCACTTCACGTTACGTATTTCAAGCACCCGAGAACTCCCCATCTCCAAATATGTTGGCAACGATTGCTGTCATAAATTCTTCATATCCCAGTGGCTGCCTTAAGTCTTCGAAATCTCTCAGAGTACCAGGGTCCCTTACAGTTTCCCTACCAATCGCTATGAGTACCATGGTCTCCAGCCCAAGTTCTACTGCCTCGAGCACATTCAAAGGCTCTCGCCTTAAACAAAGCGCTACGTAAGAGGGCAACAGCCACTCCCGTACGTCGTGCTTCCGCGCCAGGGCAATCTTCTGGATGGGATCAAGCGGTGGGAGGCACTCTAGTTCATGCAACGCTCTCGCACGGATACGCTCCATTGCATAGCGGGTTGCAATCGACAGCAGTCTGATCCATTCGTCTGCTGTTGAGAAAGGAGATGGTGAGATACCCCTGAGAGGTAGTTAGTGATACGAGGTACGGTGATGTGTGAGAGGCATACCCATCGTATAGGAACTTGAGCAAAGCCTCAAACTCAGCGACTGTCACTTCAGGCAGGACGATGGGCTTGTCGTCAGTGAGTCCTTCAGGACCGTCCTGGGTTGGAGGACACACAAACATAGTGCGAAACACATCCGACTCGCGCTGCAAAAAAAAGCGATGTACACGGAATAACACCCCGTCTACCTATTAAATCACAATGTTCTTTAATGTGAAAATTCAGAAATGTAGAGATTTGGACTACCTACCAGGAAGACAGATAATTCATCCTGCAAATAAAACTCGGAATGTCTCGGCGGAGACCGCAGCTTCGTAAAGAATGAGGCAATGCTTCTTACGGACTCGACCGGGCTTGCGACAACGGATGACTGGCCGAGGAGTCCAGGAAGTCTTATGTTCCCCGATGGCGACCGGGAAGACCGGGAAACAGGTGAACTAAACGATAGTTGAGAGGCCGAGGCTGAGAGAGGGCTCATCGCACGAGAGGCAAAGCCTTCCGATGACGGAACACGATACGGGACTGCCAATACTGGGTGAGAGAGTTCTGGGGTACTGTCGAGACTTCTCCAGCTCATGTTGATGTTTTGTGTGGTCGGGCTGGTTGACTTAAAGTAAGAGTAGTCGAGCGTCTTACTTATATCTTCGAGCTGTGGTAGACTGCGCACCACAGCATGCTTGATCCGCGTGCTTTTCATTGAACATGTAGCATGCAGCCTCAGTGGCCCAGTGGGGCATGCGCACATAGAACCGAGTGGCCGGTGACCAATACATCGTTGGAAGATGTCACGGCATTCAAGTTCTCAGAAGAAAACTTGAAAGTAGCACAGAAGATTCAGATATTCGATCACAATGTGCATACCACACGTGTCACAGCTCCGGAGTGGACATAACAATCAACTCAGCGTTAACCTCTGATAGTCCTGACGTTTGACCATAGACATAAAGGCTTCGACTGGGAGAAGGATACGATTGAAAGACAAGGTGTCGCCAGATAAAATCCTAATTGTAGGCTACTCCAGACCATTAGTTCGCGTGTAACTTGAAACAAGATGGCACCCGTGTCGACGTCTTACCGAAGCTATGTCATATATCATTCCATGAATTTCAGGAAAATCACAACTCGGAGTAGGCAAGTCTCAACCAAAGATTGGCCGCCGGAGTCGCGGTCGCGGCGCGCGGATTTGCAAATTTAGCACATACATAGTCACGTGTTATTTGAAACTCCGAATCACTCTGAAAGCCTTCAAGCGGCGACTATGTTCAAGCCCTTCTTCACATCGAAGACGTCCAGTTTGGTTACTAGTCTATTCGGCGACATGAAAGCTCCCGCACGTGCATAGAACAGAACGATACCTTCTTCACATGGCAAGTTGAACCACCCTGAACCCAACCCTAGTAATCAGAGGCTTCCGATAGCTTCTACAGAAGTACCTTGTTCATCGTCATCGTTTTCAAGAATGTCCCAGTATATTTTCAGTGACACGAACCACCATTTTAGCCAATGTTTCCGACACACCCCTACTCTTCACCCGGATGTGTCGCCAATAGGGAGTTGTTGCCAGCTCAATAACAGGCATCTGGTCCCGCATCAATATTTTGCTTCCTAGACAACTCGCCGAAGCACTCAAGTCGTTCCTTCCATCTCTTTTGCAGGTCTGGCCCGCCCGGTCTGGCAGTAGACCTCTCCATCCGCATTGATCGCTCCTCCCACCGAAGCTTTTAAAATAGGATGCTGCGTTATAACCAGATAAATGTTAAGTTTCGCACAGGCTGATCCTCGCCTGATCAAGATTTTTTTTTCCGAGGAGGCGCTGGAAAACGGCAGTTGGTGTATCAAGTGTATATGAATAGGATAAGTTAAATACACCATAACTGAGGACTTTTGAATATTACCAGTCAGCTCTCCCAAAACCAATGCGCCAAATTTCTGTGGACCGACCTTTTCCCAGTCTATGTCTTATACGTCACAAGCGCTCCGATCGCCTTCAGACGTAGTTCAACCTCAATCATAGTAACAGATGCTTATACACTACGTTCGCCGTCGTCTTTTCATCCTCAGTCTCTGCAAATAGCGCGCGAATGTCACGACGACATCTCACTCTCGACAATGCCGTGTATAGTTGTCCGTGCGCGAAGGAGTCCGTGCGCAGGTCTAGTACTGCTTTCTGCAACGTCAGACCTTGACATCCGTTGAACGTGGTCGCGTATGCCGGTCTGAGAGGAAACTTTTTTTGGTTGACTGTCCAGGTGCTCCGCGGAGGCTTGAAAGTGATGCGAGACAGGCAATGCATCTCACCGGTCTGAGGGCACCGAAATCTCCAGGCAGCGCTTCGAGCATGATGTCGTTGAATGCATGTCATTGGATCCAGTAGAACGTGCGGGGGAAAAAGAAAGTCGATGGCATCGGTGATGCTCCCGATTTGATTGATGAGATGAAGAGCTTGGCGTTTGCCGGACCAGTCCTCTCCTAACATGTCCACGAAGTCGGTGTACTCTGGGTCTCCAATCGTGTGTACGGGCATGTTGAGAGTGAAGATGCGCATGAACTTTCATAGAGGAGATGAGTGGTCTTCTCATCCTCAGAGTCTGTTGGAAACAGCGCGCTCGAAAGTGCGCTTTTCATACTCAGTATCCGTTGAAAACAGCGCATGAATATCTCGGTGACATCGTACCCGAAGACAGGATGATGCTAGGTGAATAGGAACAGAGATCAGTGCGGCACGGGAGATCGAACAATTCGAATGTGAGTGGCGATCAGCTGGAGCGCACACGTGGGGTAGACGCGAATTGGTTCCATGGGATCAGACATTCCGTGCTTATATATATTAGAATGTATGCGACAAAATGGCACATTATACATACTATAGTGATCTAAATCGTAAAAAGAACCTCGAGCAGGGAGGGATATCGACTTTGCGTGAGAAGTATGCAGATGAGTAAACGAAACATGACATCTTCAAACGCAGAAAGTCAATATCAAAACACAGTCATCGACACATTGCATGACATAAAAAATAAAATGTATCGTACCATGGTCAGCATATGATTCCGATGTCTCTTTTGTGCTCAGCGCTGAGTGGCCACTCGTACCAAACACGTCCATAGTTTTGAGACCGCGCTGCATGTATCCAAGGTGGACATGAAATGGCTTTCTGGACGACACCGCATTCCAGACATTCATATTTAATCTTCGTTTGGACCCACTGCTTCCCGTAGTACTGCTTTCCGTGTGGATGAAAAACCATGTTATAAGCAGGTGCGTTGCACGCGGCACTCAAACACCGGTATATGTCAAGGCCCCAAGGCCGCCCGTCTCTGAGATTGGAGTATGCTAGGACCCTGGTGTGGACGGTACGTTGTCGCACTTTGTCTCCATTGGTCTTCATCTCGGCGAATGACAGAAATACGGGTGATTGGTTGAGGGCGTGTCTATCTTCACCAAATGATTCCTCCAGCGCGTCCCACATCTGCAAGCCGTATACATACACGTTCTCGATAAAGCGATTCAACGCAGGAACGACCACTGGATCCATTGTCGGTACACCCGAAAATGTAAGCACAAAATCGAGGATATCCCTGATTGGTTGTATATGAGACAATCATATTTTAGGATATCATGAAAATGTCACTTACTCTTTCACGAATCGTGTTAACAACAGTGCACTGTCATCAAGTCTTCCCGTGGATCCGCATGCGCAGATGACAAGCCCCCGAATGCATGGACCAACACCTGCTTTCTTGTTGATTGCGGAGATTGCATGCGTTGCAGCTCTCAAATTGTGATCCCCAATGTACTTTGAAAGAAGCTATGTTCGCAATCGTCCATATCCTTAGATAAATATTTTGAGATTTCAGAAATCTCACCTCATAAATTGGAATGGACGTTGGATTTCTCTCGTTTCCAGATACAACGAGATTGCCCGTCTTCGTGTCAGAATGCGTGTTGACGAATATCAACAGATTTCCCTCATAGTTGAACTCACGCATCCAATCGAAGGAAGGGGTCATAGCTTGTGGACAATTATTCCCGGCTCTCAGGGCTCGCGTCATTATATGTAACTTTTCAATCATCATTAGAGTGAAAGAGTTATCCAGTAAAAATGAACACACGCACCCTGCTTTTATCCCGACGATAATGTTCTTCCAGCGTTAATCTGATTAGATTTGAAGCAAACGGGCTTTCAAAACCACTCCATGACAAGAAAATAGCGAGCAGTGGGAAACGGTTGCGATAGAGAAAGTCTTGTCGAACAGAGTATCCTTGAACATTGTACTGTTGTAATGAGTGATTTATAGATGTGTGACAATGAAGCAGCGGATTGACTTACAGTCATTGCTAGACCTTTATCCCGATGGCATCGAGGACACATGAATGTCTTTTCAGTCACGCTCATGTTACCGGTCTCTGGATCAGAGAATATATTCACGCATCCGTGATCGCATTCACTCAAGCCGACACACACAGGGTTCCCGCAACCTTCAGCCTGACATGTCCATATGTAAGGTCCAACGTCGTGGCAATAAATACAGCACTCAAAGAATGTTAATGACGCTCTGGTTCAAAATAGGTAGGAACATACGATCATCGGGTCTTTGATCCTGTCAAATGCTTGAAAATTGCGAGACTTGAGCCCATCGACATCTTCGACGTCCATCGCGTTCGGGTCATCATCCGTAATAGAGACAAGTCTAACATAGGGTGCATCAGGTGAATTTGAATCCGCCCTCCTACGTTTTCTCTTTGCAGGCTGTTTTTCGTTGCTTACTACAGGTGCCGGTGCCACTTCCGTTCTACGGCGATTATTCTGCACCAATTGCTGTTGTTGTGGACGAGGTGCAGGTGCAGTAGGGGCAGAATTTGCTAATGGCTTAGCTTGTGTGGAATGGCCGGGAGTGAGAAACGATGATTTAGCTTGTATAAACGCTGGTTCTGCTTGAGCAAAATGGCTGAGCCTGGGTGGCAGAGACGCCATGAACACTGCTTGATATTGGTCGGTTGGTAATGCCAAATATGTCAGTTTCACGCGGCTCTGTTAATTTCAAAACGTAGGAATATGTTACCAATTCTGGATACGTGAGCCACTGCGCCACTCAGCGCCCCAATGGCAACACATTGAAACGCAGTAAGAGCTACGACTTCAAGACATGATCAGAAAAACATTGACCTCCAGAGCCCTTTTCCAATATAGTCGCTTCATTTCTCGCATCTGTAGACTGTCGTAGTGGATGCATTTGTACCATACTCTGGCAATAAAGATCATTTAGCCACGCTCCCTTACCCCCATGTCTCCTGGCTTCTTTATGATGATCGGTCCAAGTTTTTCGACGTCTGATATTAGGGAACCACGAAGGGTGGAAACTATAGTAGCGCATGCAGCTACTGCATATTGCAATTTGCGAACGAGAGACTTTCAGACCGCCACATCTATCAGTAGTAGCCGAGTCAGCACTCTGATATTGTAGTCTCAGATTGCGACGTGGTTAAATTATTCTATCACACTATGGCGCACGGCGTTCAGGCTCGCCGGTTGACAAACCGCAAAGAAAATAATGTTTAGATGGTGCCGAATGGTTATAAGAGGTGGAGACCAACGGGCAGTTCTCAGTAGTGTGCCGTGGATAACCTTCTTGGGGGTTATCCACTGTGGATATCCACCCTGGAGAAATTGGGGGTGAGTTATCCACCGGTGAGTAGGGTGGATATCCACCGGCGGCAAAACCGGCCCGGCGGATCCGGGCGCTGCAAAAATTTTCAATTCATGGCGTGTTTCGCAAAATTTGCGCTCGTTCATCAATACTAAAGAAATATATTATATAGCAGATCTATTCCATGTCCCAGTCTGCCTCCGTCAAGACCCTCTCTTGCACAAAGGGTAAATCTAATTCACATCTTTTCCTGCCACGAGAATGGCACCTTGTGCAGCTTCGAGGATGTCGTGCACCCACTTCTCAAGGATGATGTCACCTGAACATTTTTCAATCCATGTTTCCAAAACATCTACGACGGCCTCTATTTCGGGTCCTCGCTCCGTGAGTTTCAGGCCGTCAACACGACTGCCAAACCTAACTTCTAATTCTCAATTGACAGCACCAGCCTCGCCAATGTCTGCAGCCCATTCGGCATCCGTGCTGAAGTCGGAGAATTTGTACCTGGATTCTGCTGCTAGTGGAACGGGGATGTGCGTTGGCAGCGCTTCGAGACATAGTCGCAGCTCGACTAATTGATCTTGGAGTTGTTGCTTCATGTAAGTTTAGTGGATCGTGGATCTCAAAGGCTGGGGGGATGAATATCTCAAAGATCACAATAATCCATTCATTTTTTCGCGTTGATGTTCAACCAAAAAAACATTGCTTGACGTCGCATGAAGTTACGCCAAAACGAGTAAGCTTGTAGACTTGCAATGTTCAACAATTAAGCTTTTTAAGTGTATTTAATGTTATTTATTGTGACCCCGTGCACGCACACTGTTTCTTGAGTTATTCACATAATCCACCCTATTGATTTTGGCTTCGAGTTATCCACCTAGTTACTCACGTGGATAACTAGGTGGATATCCACGTGGGTGGATAACTCAATAGTTATCCACGGTACACTAGTTCTCAGCATTACCGCTCAATTCGCCAAAGTCCATTAGTGGTTCAAACAAAGACACAATTACGTGACAAGGTATACACCCCTAAACGAAGGCCGTCAAGTACGCCTGCATCTATGCTCTCCGAAATGTGGTCAAGATCGAGATGCGGAAAAATGGTCTGGTTTAGTTCCATACAGCCCGTGATTGCAGGGGGTAGCGTGTATCGCATGGCCACGGGAGTCACAAGAAATATTTTGTCGTAATCATCAGCACTGAGGGATGCAGCAAAGTCATCTTGGGACGCCCCGGCGAGATCAACGAAAGAAACTAAGCCAGTTGCAACATCTGAGTGATACTACGTCAGCTGAACCTGCTTGCATCGAGCAAATGGGAATAACCTCGTTCGTTAACGCCAAGGAGGTGGAGCGGCGGCATGTACGTCTTCCAGTAGATTATGTTTGTCCGCGTGCCGAGGGAAGCATTAGCAACCAAGGGATGGAGGTGGAATAGGGAGGGTACTACGCCTCCTTGATGTAGAATTCCAAATAGAACCGCGAGCACGAAGTTGAATATGGAGCAGGATACCTACAAAGTTGTTAGCAGCCTCTGGTTGACTTCAATGTGTTAACATACCCAGAATGTTTTGCCAACATGGGCCAATTGTCCAGTGTTTGCTATCAAGACAATAATTGGCAACAAAAGAGGCACCAAGAAGCGAGGTTCTTGGTGAGGTTGCACAGATAGGACAGACAATGACAAAATGATCATTTGTATGATTGCTGCGAGTGGACAAAATGTGAGTGGTTGCGAGCACTGTCAATAAAAGCCCTTACTCGGGTGAAGAACGTCGACTTCGAATGATTTGTCATTTTTCTTATTAAACAATGTGGCGCTGTCCACAATCACGCGCACTGCTAGCCAAGTGATCCAGGGGCCGAACAACATCGGAAGGTTCACGAAAATGTGGAGCCAACGTGGATGAACTCCATGTTCTGCCAGATTTTGGGACGCGAAATTATACATGAGAAAATTAAAAGGTGTCACCACGATGTCGTCAAGGGTACCTCGAAAATATAGGGTGTCCGCCACCAAAAATGCGGTACATGTCCCTGCTGCAGTGAATAACGGCGGGACGACAAGCCGCAGCCACCTGGTCACAGTTCTGGCATGTATAAACGTTCCAAGTGCGACCTGAAATGCGATGGGCGCCCCGAATATCAAGAAGGTTGGGCGAGTGAATATACCAGTCACAAAGGTTATGGCTAGTAAGTGGATATCATAACTCTACCGGTAGATTAGATTCGAGATCCTCGAGAAGTCGGGAATAGCCAAACGGACCTTATCCAGCATCTTAACCGAACGTATCTTGCGCAAGAACAACAGACTCAAAGAAATAAGGACAGCCTCGATAGAATTCGAGAAGGGTCGAACCTGGAACGTGTTCATGACATGAGACGACGCCAGAAGCAGAAGACCAAGGCGTCGGGCACTCGGCGTCGGCACCAAACTCATCAAGCTGTAATCTAATAATGCTTTGAGTTTCATAAGCTGCAGAGATGCATTACAACGATTTACCGATCAGCCCAGATAAGAGCAAGAAGGCGGACCGTTCTAGTCGAAAGAGTAGGATTGGATGCACTCCCTGTATTAAGTGTTCCTCTAAACAGGCCGTGTAAGACATACATGACAGTTCCAGCACAAAGTTTCTCACTGCTGAGGACCTTAGCAAACCAGACAGGGATTCCAGTTGTCGCAAATGCCGGTACTATAGAACGAACGGGAAGTACAGCGGACCATTCCCAAGTACGGATGGTATGGTAAGGCATGAGATCACCTTAAATATTTAGATTCTGGGATTAGAGTGGCAGGAGAAACACGAGGCTTAGACTCACCGGAGGTCACTTCTCCATTCTGCATGTGTTCATCTGGGTGAATGTACCCAGTTCCAAGAAGCGCAAAGCATATCCGTAACGTCCATAGACCCACATAAATCCATCTGAACGTACGTGTTGCTAACACCACGTTTCAATAAACAAAGCTCGCGAAGGACTTGTCGAGCACCTAACAGATCATAAACAGTTAGCCAAGTATTGCACTTGGACTTGAATGTCGAGTACTTTTGTATGGATCAGAGTGGGCACGACACGCTGTCGGAGATTGAAATCCATCTTGTACTCAGGCTGATATCTTCAACACCCCTGCGATGGTCTGTCTTTTAATCTCTTGTGCTGCAGTTCACTGCTAAAGGCTTCTATCCGTCCCCATATGTCTGTGCCGTATTTATACAACCGTTCTTATATTCTGGTCGTCCTTGCCACATGCAGGCATCACTCCACTTCTGCTCAGAGTGCAATAATCTGCTTTACCCAAAGGCTGACACTGGGCGTCGCATCATGGTTTACGCTTGTCGAATATGTAGCGAAGAGGAGATCGGCGAGAACAAGTGTGTCTACAGGAATGATTTACTAACAGTCACCAAGTAAGTGCTTGAAGCTGAAATATTTTGTGCCATCTTACTGACCTTTAAATCAAACAGAGAACAGGTGGGAATTACTACCGACCTGGGATCGGATCCCACATTGGTTCGTCACCGCTCCGCGTCATCTTACATTACCCTATCTAATTCTGATATCAGGCGCACTCAAATATTACATGTCCGCATTGTGGCCAAGACGAGTACGCGATGTCAATACGATACAGCTTACCCTTGCTAACCATATCTCCTACTCCACTCTAGCGCCGTTTTCTACCAGGATCAGTCAAAACGGAAGGAAACCCGCATGATTCTGTTTTTCGTGTGTACCAAGTGTAACCACAGTTTCACGGATCCTTCGCTCCCGCAGGACAATCGACCTGACACCTCCTGACGCTCGCAGCTAAATCGTTATCAATTGCATCTATTTCGCACAATCTGTAATTTACCTCCCTTCATAATCGGTTATTTCCTATCATCATCAACCATTGTGACGCCATAACCTAGGCCCAGGGGCCAGGCTAGTACTCTCAGATGTAAACCAAATGTCCTACTGCCTCCATGGTGTGCCCTGGCTGGTTTCCAAAGTTGTACCTTGACTATCTCGACCCTCCAAACAATCGCCGAGAGATGTTGGATGAAATGACGGAATACGGGCCATGCGGGTCCCGTGCGGTCTTCTCCGCACAATCATTTCCCACTACCATGCGGTCTTCCTAATCGTCGTGCACTCGGGGCTTTGGAGTAGGCAATCCGACTGGTTGTGGGCATCTCCTATCGCTGACTTAGTTCGGTCCCGCAATGCTGACGGTCATCACCCTCAGCCAGTAAATATAGTGCACCATCGCCCTTTCATGACTACATTTCTTGTACTTGTAGGAATGTTTCATCGCTCAGCGAAGCGACTAAAATGCGATCGAAATGAGGACGTACGATCTGAGGTCTGGAATTACTTGCCCGTTTCATATCGGAAAGTGAATTGATGACACCGTCCTCGAGGCTTGTAGAAGTCTTTTGTGGCAACCGAGAAACATTACGTTGCTGCAATGCTGCTCGTTGGCTCATTTTATATTGACTAAAAGATGCACCATCCTCGAGGAGTAAGTACTACCCGTAGAAGTGTTTCGCGAAGGGAAGAGAACAACGCAGTCTTCGAGGCCCTCAAAGAAGTCACGACGGGCATAATTTAATGTGCTACTCGTCAACCAGAGACAAGCGCCCACCTTTGAACGTCGCGCGATGTGATCTGTATGTGGAGTCAGCATCAAGCCGCGGCAGTTCATCGAAGAAACGTTACGTGTCCTCTGTTCCATTTTCGACTTCTTTCATTTTCCCCGCCAACCCCGTTGACGCGCCCTGTATACAAACATGACGACCCACGACCCTGACCTGGTGCCGGCATCTTGCTACCTTGGTGAATCAGCAGCTAGTACGTACCCGAACTGTCAATGTTTACTCCTGACCATTAGTTGCAGCGCCCATAACTGGCACAAGGGCCCCAGGGAAAAAACAGATGGTGGCTTATTATGTGATTATATTTGAACCTGATGATAGATGCTGATGGAAGGCTGTGAACTGCAAAGGGGATCGATGGCTGACAAAGGGACGCCAAACGTCGTGCGGGACACCGTGCACCGATACCGACTGGAGATAAGTATAGGACGAGCAATCGGACTTCACGTCTTCAGGGTATGTGCCCTTGTGCTCCCTTTCATCTCGTCCACTACGGCGCTTTGCCATGCACCTTAGTTTTGGTGAGGAAGCGTCCGTTTCGAAGGGCCCTCTGTGGTCAAACCATGTTGGCAATAATGTTACCTCAAGGCCAAGAACCATGAACGCGGCAGGGCAAGGTACCTAGAACCCGAAGAGCCCTGCTTTGTGATTGATGAATCCATCGTTAAGGGAAGTAGTAGCCTGTAAGGTCCAGGATTATTATAGTACTGCGACATGAACGGAGACCTCAGGAATCCCGTGACCCCGGGCCAGACGTGAAGCTGCTCCTGACAACCCGACGGGCACTTGATCATTCACCCCAACTCGAATCAGATTGACCTGGCCAGATCAGAAAAGTGTGTGATGTGCATGCTGTAGAGAAGCTTCCATGGCATCTGCCACATCCTCCATAAGTTATAAGAACCATAGATTGCCGAATAGCCGCCCCCGGTCGAGATTACATGATGAGTTCGGCGCAAGTGCGCCACGGACTTACGCTGGCCAGGGATAGTGACATCAGACAGAGTCAACGGCATCCTTGGACCTTCATTCCCTGCAAGGGCGCACTAAGGAGGAAACTATCTTAGTGGGCTCTTTACGGCACAAGTTACAGAGTCCCTGAAAACTCGAAAGGAGATAGAACGGGTCCAGGCAATTTATCGGGTAATTATTCGAATAAAGATGATTTTAAATATGTATTTACTGGATATCATCGTCGGATGAAACAGCGCTGTGGAGGGTTTGTGATCCTTGCATTCACCACAGGTTTTGTTGATATATATATTGTGCACAAGGATCGCATGAAAAACTCTGATCTGAGTAAGTTATCCTAGTCCAAGAGGTGACCGGAAAGTCAAATCTGGTAGTGCTGAATTTGGTAACCGCTGGTAACCGATGGTTCTTGAATTCATATATAATGTAATCTGACTTCACTCCCTATAAAACTCTCTCATTCTCAAACCGTCCTGTCCTTCCTCAACTTTCTTTAAGTTTCTTTGTCTTGTTTAGATCCCTCCTTTCCCCAAACACACAAAGAACACAATGAGGTTCGCGTCTGTCCTTGCTCTTGCCGTGGCCGCTACTGTCGTAAGCGCGGAGACCAATGCTGAAAGAATGGTGCGCGGTCTTCCCCCTATGGCTCCCGCTCGTCGCGCCACGCCCGTCGAGGGTAAGCATATTATTTTTCCTGCTTGACGCGCTCTGATCATCTCCGAAGGCGCCAAGCGCTCCGCCCCCTCAGGTGGTGGTGGCCAGTGCAACACTGGCTCTACCCAGTGTTGCGATTCTGTTACAAAGTCTGGCTATGGCACCCCCCTCGACGACTTGTTGTCTCTCATGAGCATTGACGTCCCTAATGATACTCCTTGTGGTCAAAACTGCTCCCCCATCAGCGCTTTCGGGGGTGGCAAGGGCGCTAACTGGTAAGTTCTTACGGTGCGCGTTTCATCGTGCTAGAATTAATGTTCCTTGTAACCACCAGCAACCAACAACCTGTTTGCTGTGAGGACAATTCTTACAATGGCCTCGTGAATATTGGTTGCTCGCCCAGTACGTTTGTTCCCTGATGCCCTTGTATCCATGTGCTTACCCCTGCAACCATCAGTCAACTGGTGAAACAATCGCCGCGTTTGGTGTTCGGTTCCATGCCTACACACGTTCCACTCGTTTTTCTGTTTGATACGCATAAAAGTCGCTTGTCCGCGGCTTTGGACTTTTTCACCTTCGCAAGGCATAGCCTACGTTATTGTTTTGTTGCGTTTTTGTTACCTCGTGCAGTGGTCGCTTATGGCTATGCTTTTCCTGTAATAGACTGGTACAGTGACTAGGATAAAATAGCTGGTGTGGTGACTGTAAACATTGTTATTTCTTCCGCCATTTTACTAATCAACGGTGATTATGATCCACGATCATGACAGGTGCCAGTTGAAACGCCACGAGAAATTCCGAGTCGATCACGCTAATTCGCAAAGCGTTGTAACAGTATCATGGACTGCTGAGGTCCTGCGTGTCGCTAATCCGAACAGTACTTTGATGAGATTAATATTCTTTCATGCTCAAACTTGTGTCCATGTGGGTTAGGGCGAGAATCGCCGAGTCGCACCTAGGGCGGTCCGTCATTTTCTAATTCATCAAGTTAGCCACGCATTCCATATCTATCATTCAGATATGATGACGAAGAGGTCCGAAGGGCTCACCTGATGGAAATTCTTGTTGAGTGGGAAATGATAATGTCGACAATAATATTGACATAAATAGTTGGATCACTCAATACATCAAACAAATATGCCATTGCTAAGGCGGCCTGGATGAGCCTGGATTCAATAAGGTCCTGTAGCTGCAATATGGAAGGACGTGGAATTTACATAACAGATGTGCATGTTCATGAGAACAATCATGACGTGCAGCCTATATTAAGAACTCAAGAGGAACCGCGTCAAAGTCGCCACTGACAGCGTGCTACTCTGCGAGGAGGCCAGTACCATCAAACCGCGTGGTTCGATTCTGAGAATCCTCGGTTAGTAGCACGCAGTCAAGGTCGCCATACCCGGAACAAGGACGCCTTGTGCCACCGCCGAGCGGTTGCATTGGGTATAAATACTGTCAAGGCGTTCCGGCCTAGTTGCTGTTGAACCGTTGCACTTGCCGTAAGGCCGCCGCATTTCATCATTGCAATCTACGCAGTCATTTTGTTAGATGAGTCGTACTCACTATGCATCGTCAGAACAACCGGGTCGGGCAGATTGGCCCGGATCAGATCAACGATCGGTCCCTCGGTGATGAGTTGACTGCTGCCCTGCAGGTCCAACTAATTGGTCTCCCGTTATAGACAAACCGTGATGAAGATCCGTTGCACGTTGCCCCATATACAATGATATTAACACCAAGATATTGCGTGCCTTTGTGCCTTGTAAATGGTTGCACATTGCCCCCATGGACAACGATATCAACGCCAAAAGATTAAGCGTGCCTTTGTGCCCTGCAAGCACTCGGTATGACGGAGGTGATTTGCAGTTTATTTCGTCCATTCCATGTACAAATTCTCACGAAGCTGTCAAACATTGTAACAGCGTCCGAGAAACAAACTGAGTTCGTCCGCCCTCTAAGCCGGAGTTTGAAATAGAAAACATGCCGAGTTCGTGTCGCTGCCCTTGGTCTTCGCTCAAGTCTAGTATGACGCGCCTCTGTCGTGAAGTTCCTCCCTTCATGCAGATATGACTTTTGAGCTTGAAGTTTTGGCTATTACTCAGCTTTCAGACGAATTCATTGGCCTCGCAATTGCTGCACTTGCATTGCAAGCTGAGAAACGTACCGGTAGCAAGAAGTACGGTCCATGGGGAGTAGGATGGGTCCACGGAGTAGTGAGTGCTGCCGTTTCCTGCGTGGGTGGGCTGGGACCACTGCTGCAAACCATAGATGGGACTCGGTTCGTATGACACAGGTGTTGTATGATTGAATTGGTGAGGGTGTTTGAGGAGGGAGCCACTCGTCGGCAATTATGTTGCTGGGGCTGTACGCATTCTTGACAGGAAATAACCAATTTGGTATGTCGATACTAGTAAGACAATTGTGTAGTGTGCGTTCACACTGAGGCGAAGAGGACTGTCGGTTGTTTGGCACTATGTGAGCTCCTCGGCGCCCATTTGGAAAACAATCAGTTGGAATTTCACGTCACTGCTAGTTTACCTAATTATGAAGCTTAAACGTTGATGTGCTTTGCAGAGCGTCCAGAGAGGGAGGAAAAGAAAGGAATCATTAATATATATGTCAGTTGCTAGTAGCTAGCTTAGTTTGTATTCCATGCAATATCCTGATCTGGAAAGTTCGGGAGTAGGAATATTCTAGGATCGCTTGTCACACCTGCGTCACATACATGCCGCGTCAAAATAGCTTCCTTTGCATTCTGCTCAGTAACGGGAGAGGGCGATAGGAATACAGATAGAACATACACACTACCGTGCATGGTGCGCGCGTCTCATATGAATTGTTACTGATAAATGCGGCTTTTTATAGTATATAGTCCAATTCTGCCATTCACACTGTGTGCCACTGTGTCGCAATGCTTCAACTCGAAATAAGCACCAGGTCGCAGGGCGTCCCGCTCTTTCAAAGCCCATTTGATGAAATTACATGGTGGCTCGACAGTCTGTCTACATCACACCCAGATTTATCTATGGTAATTATCCCGTCCCCTCCCTTCCCAATTCTAGTTCGCGAAGCAAGCCCATATAAAACCGGCTCTGTACGATCTGCATATAATCCAGCTACCTGTTCACCAACTGTCGCATACAAAGATGATCTACCATGTCGGTAAGTTATGTAGATAGATCCAGGACACAAACCACTCATACTCACGCACTGCTTTGCAAATTCGCACTCTCTGCATTCTCTAGTATGTCTGCACCAAAAAGGACAGTTCTCATTGTCAGCACCGTCGACAGATATCGATGTAGTCAACGCAACAACAGTGGCGAGGACAAAGGAGAGACGCATTTTTTGTGAGGATGTGGTATGGGATCAAATCAATCTGAAGGTGAGAGTAGCAAGACGCCCTTTTATGCGCCAAGTAATGATCTTCATGACAATGACGTCTGCAATGCCAGCAGATCGCCACCTACGATCTACCCTAAGGAGCAAGGTCTGTTGGCAATCTCGCATGGAATAAGACATTACCTTCCAAAGTAAGTCCAATAATGCCGGCTCGCAAGGACTAATCAGTTTGTTAATCTTGGATGATGAAGCTGATAAAGATACAGGTTCAGAATTAGAGGACGAGTGCGCGAAAGATTTGAAGGAGGATGAAAATGACGACGATAGCGAGGTTGATCATGAGACGGGGAAGGTACTACAGATAAAGAGGAGGATTCCGACGGCTACAGAGAGTATTCAAACACATCATGATAGTCCAAATGTGTTGTATTTTCTTAGCACAATATCACCCCTCCTCGACGATATATGATATTGTACAGTAGCAACTCATGATCAGGAAATACAGTATCAGCACAGACTCGTCACCAGTCTTACCATGTTTCGGAGACGTTGATTAAGTGCCTAGCGTCTGACGGAGTCGCGTGAGAGGCGTTTTGAAATCTGCCACATGTCAGTCGCGTTGCTTTGGATAATCGCGCGTACAGCGGTCGACAACACAACGTTCTTCGTTTACATCGTGCAAAGTGCTGTATAATGTGCCTCTCAAACATCATAGTGCATCGAGCAGCAGTACCGAACGCTGATAAATCCAACTGTGACAATAAATGTTTCGTCGATAAAGAAGAACACTATTTGTATGACGAACCTTCGAGTCAGCGTGAGACGTGCAATATGTCCTTCGGCGAAAATGATCCGCTCCGAGTCGGGTGCAACAACCGGAGGTTACGAAAAGCTCCTGCATACACGTACTGCAGGATAAAGATCACATCAAAGTCATGCAGGAGGATATTGATGACTGCTCGATGCTTAGATTCGGACTCCTTGCGAAATAAAATTGAGTTGTGCGAAAGCCTCGGGAGTTTGCTGGTTTTGTTTCGTCAAGAGGGCGCTCGTAAAATCTTAGATTGTTGATAGTGGCATACAACAAAGGATGTTAACATGGCATATAGTCTGCACAATGATAGACACATAACTTGAAGTTGTACGGCGATCGGCATGACCGGCACCTGCTAAAATTCAAACTCCTCGCTTTGCCATACCACCGAGCGCCTGGCTTCGCAACTTGAGTCGTCCGTGGTGTATAAACCAGGCTGGTCTCGAGCCTAACAATGAGGTACTAACAGGAAGGAGCCCAATGAAGGCCGATACGAGGATGCAAAGGTATGCGGAGATTGCGGAACAAGGAACGAGAGACAAACGCGGAAGGGACACACAAGACAAATGACCGCCAGCCTAGATTCTAGAATGATCGAAGTCGCCTGAATTGGACACAGATGGAGTAATTGCACAGATTTTGCAGGATAAAAATGAAAGCTACGAGACCTACTCCCTAACGGTAGCGGGAAAAACACAAAGTGGTGATATCGCTCAGCCTTATGCCTTTCATGTAAGCTGGCCGCAGAGGGTGGCATGCCGTTCACGGGGCTACGCCCAGCCGTGAACATCGCTGCAATTCCGACCATCGTTCAATCTATGAGTCTTCCCTCGCCGCGCACAATAGGCCTTTAATTACCAGGCATGCCATGCGAAATCACTTGCGAAATCCGGAGCTCCCATTCTCGTCACCACAGTGTGCAGTGGGTCGAGCCCCGGCGTGGCTTATCTTGTACATTGGGGTAATAGATTCCTCCGGATTGTGCAATGTGATAGTATTGGTGTGATGAGTTTTCTTGTTGTTTTGAGACGACCTGGTTGATGACTCGGTGTCACATAGAAATATGCTGCAAGGGCCGGTAATCGGGCTAGGCAAACTGTAGATGAAGGAAGACCTTTGTTCGTTCTATAATATGCGAGAGCATCGGACAACGTTGGGCCGTAGATTTGGTGAAGATGTTGCGCGAGAAGATCCCGGAAGCATCGTGTCGATTCACATGGGCATCTAGTTTGAGACACGCTGTAATGCCAAATCATTGAGTTGAAACAAGCGTGTGTGTAGCACACGCTTGTGTCAATACTAGAAACTACACTTTCAAACAACGATGGATGTCGTATACATACAAGGAACCGCCCACTCCGAGTCAGAACTCAAAACCTCATCTGCTTGATATGGAAACCCGTCAGTGCTGATAAAATGCGAGTGGTCGGATAACACTTCTATCTCGCTCCACCTGAATTAATGGGGAAAGTGCGGGACAACTGTCGTTCTGCTTGCTGGTCGAATATGTCCGACATCTCCACGAGTGCCTGATGGATTTCGCGCATATCCTTCCCGGCTTGCCTTAAGCGCCACAGCGCCTCTATTGTGGTGGCCGAGGTGTCTTCCATCTCTTTGAAGTCATCCCTCGCCTTTTGCACTGCTTTTAGTGCATTCACCATGCTCTCGTTTGCTTGGTTCAAGGAAACATGCTGGAAAACACCAGTCAGGAGCGAGGTCTAGGAACGATCTGGAAGATAAGTTTACAGGTGGTGGTGGTGGTGGTGCGCGTTTTGCAGGGTCTTCTTTGCGTAGTAGCATACATCCTATGAGGGTTGACCAAACAAGAAGCGTGCAGATGGTCATCATGATGTCAACGATGACATTTCGCCGCATCGTTGGGTGGTACGTTGTAGCATCGACGGCACAGCTTAAAATTGACCTCAAAGGAGAGAGAAAAGTCCATAGATGACCAAGGGAGTAGGCGAGCGCGTGATAAAGTATGCAGAGTGTTACGAACATGACCGATACTGCGCAGTTGTGCAAGGGTACAAGATTCCCGTCAGGTTGAAATTCCAACGTTTGCACATGTTATAAATGTCTTGCATGCTATATACAGCGAAACGTTGTGTTGGAACTTGGCAGCTAGGAGAAACAAAAGACAATATTAATTAAATTCCAGTGAGACCGTAACCTTGTAAACTAAAACTATATAGTAGCATTCGGATATCTCCGGATGGCTTGCCTGGCCTAAATCTATTCAGCTAAGTCAATCCTCACCGCGCCGCCTAACGTCAAGATGCCCAAAGGTCGGAATGCATATCGTTTATAAGTGTCTAAGGCTGACCGTTCATGTTAGTTTACAAGCCCGGAAAAGTGCTTCCACCACACGTGTGATCGATGCTACTGTGATTCTAACCTTGTTGTCTAGGTCGCCATCGTCCTACAGGGCCGCCAGGCAGGCAAGAAGGTTGTTGTTATCAAACAACTCGATGAGGGAACCAAGGAGCGACCATACCCCCATGCCATCGTTGCCGGCATCGAACGCTACCCGCGAAAAGTTACACGGACTATGGGTGCCAAGAAACTACAGCGGAGAAGCCGCGTTAAGCCTTTCATTAAGGTAAGTACTCATTGACCGTGACATGGAGGTGCGAACCGACATTTATCAAATGTCTTAGGTGATTAATTACTCGCATCTATTCCCCACACGTTACGCTTTGGAGTTGGAGGGCTTGAAGAACTCCGTAGCTGCTGAACACTTCAAGGAGCCGTCACAACGGGAGGATGCACGGAAGACCATCAAAAAGCTGTTCGAGGAGCGTTACCAGACCGGAAAGAACAAGTGGTTCTTCCAGGCCCTTCGTGTAAGTTTATTCATGATGCATGCTGCGTTTAGAGCTGATTGTCTGCAACATAGTTCTGATCGCTCCTTTTTATATTTGTGGTGCTTGGGAGACGACTTGGCAAAACTACATGTACACCACATATGTCCCTACATGACACATGCTTTCTATGCACCATTGCATGATATTTCTACGTGGACGTGATGCTTGGTGGTATATCGGTGTGACTACTGTAACGTGCAGGCGCAAGTCATGCAAGTCGCTAATCATTTAACCTATCATAAATTCATTTCGGAATTTGTGAAAAAATCGTCGTGCGTCGTCGACTTGGAGTGTAGCAATGTAACACCAGTCATCCGAGAATCTTGAGCCTGTTATACGCAGTCGAATCCTAGTAGTTTGAGTGATGGATAAGGATAAGGCAAGGTTGAACGTTGAGACCTTAAGGGGCCTCGATCTATCCTCAGTACCGTGACTTTGTCGGTGCACCTGCTACCACTAGTGTAGTGACTCTATTGCACTTGTTTCAGCAACTTTTATAAAAGAAGCGACTCGTTTTTGTTTCAAACCGCGTATCATTGTTTCGTTCTGCCAAGGCCAGGATCGTGGGTTTGATCTCTTGTATCAGCAAGGTGAGTCCGCATCGGCTCTAATCTCTCAAATACTCGATTTCGAACTACTTCCTGCTTTATAGCTCATAAAAAGGTTGCAGAAATGTCATTCTTTAGTGGCACCGCAGCGCAACCCTCAACAAATGCCTTCGGCACCACGAACGCCCAGCAACAGCCTGGGCAGATAACAAGTACCACAAACGCCCAGCAGCAGCCGGGGCAGACACTCGGTGCCCAAACCACAGGCATCTTCGGCAACACGAACACCCAACAGCAGCCTGGACAGGCAACGGGTGGCAGCATCTTCAGTAATACCTCCACACAGCCATCTACATCCGGTACAACTCTCTTCGGACTGCCTAGTACAGCGACGAGCGCTACTGCAGGTGCGGGTAGCGGGAGCTTGTTTGGAAATACCACGACGCCACAACAGCCTGCAGGTACTGGTTCGTCTGAGAATACCAGCACTCAGCAACAGCAGCAACCTGCAGCTGCTTCATCTGGGAATACCAACACTCAGCAACAACAGCAACCTGCAGCTGGTGGTTTGTTTGGTAATACCACAGCCAGTACAACCCAGCAGCCTGCCACGGGTGGTCTGTTTGGGAGTACGAACTTGAACACACAGACGCAACCCACAGGAACAAGTCTGTTTGGGAACACGTTGACTCAACCTACTGGGAACTTGTTTGGGACTACAGGTACCCAACAGCAGCAGCAACAACAGCAACCACAGCAAGGTGGGAGTCTCTTCGGAGGTACCACGACCCAGCAGCAGCAACCACAGAGTAGTAGTCTCTTCGGAGGTACTACGACCCAACAGCCCGCTACCGGTACTGGTGGGCTGTTTGGAACGTCGACTACTCAGCCAAGCACCAGTGGAAGCTTGTTTGGCGGTGCAAGTTCCCAAGCGCCAACGTCAGGAGGGAGCACTCAGCAGCAACAACAACCTGCAACCGGTAGTCTATTTGGTAACACGACAACTACACAGCAGCCCGCCACGGGTAATGTGTTTGGAAGTACGACCACTCAGACACAACCTACAGGAACAAGTCTGTTTGGTAATACGACAACTCAACCTCAACCTGCTGGAAGCTTGTTCGGCAATGCAGGCACCCAACAGCAGCAACCACAACAGGCTGGAGGTCTCTTCGGAGGTACCACGACTCAGCAGCAGCAACCACAGAGTGGTAGTCTCTTCGGAAGTGCTACGACCACACAGCCTGCTACCGGTACTGGTGGGCTGTTTGGAACGTCAACGACACAACCAAGCGCCGGCGGGAGTCTTTTTGGCGCTGCCAGTACGCAAGCGCCAACATCGGGGGGGCTGTTTAGTAGCACGGCAACTCAAGCTCCAACTGCTGGGGGAGGCGTCTTTGGCAGTACAACAACGAGCTCAAACCCGTTGTTTGGGAATAAAAATCCAGCTAGTATCTTTGGTACTGCGCCTGCGCCTTCCTCGACTACTCCAACTTTATTCGGTCAATCTCAATCTGCGCAACCTATTACTACCCCCTCGTTATTCGGCCAGTCCCAGCAGAAACCAGCCGGCTCCCTATTTGGCTCAGTGAATCAGCCTGCGCCGGGTGCAGCTACTGGAGGGCTTTTTGGCAGTACGCTAGGTCTTCCGCTATCCAATTCACTTCTCGCATCGCGAAGCACTGCACCTTCACAACAACAGGACCCTCAGTCACAATATGCAGCGCTTGAGCAGAAAATTCAAGCAATTGTACAGGCTTGGGATCCTTCTTCGCAAGCATGTCGCTTTCAGGTTGGTCTCATGCAGTTTATGTATGATCTATCGTGAACTTATTCATCGAACAGCATTATTTCTATAATCTCGTTCCACCGACCCAAGTCAACGCTTTCGGTAGACCTGCAAATGCCACAAACGAGGCGCTTTGGCAACGCGCAGTGCACGATAATCCTGATCCTAGTTGGTAAGCTCAATGATTCGTCCACCACTCAGTGTGCCCATGTTACCTCTTCAGTATGGTACCTGTTCTGGCAGTTGGCTTTGACGATCTGCGTCAGCGCGTAGACGGGCAAATGAAGCAAGCCACGGAACAGCAAAAAGCTTTAATGGTTTGTGGTCATCTCTTACGTTGTAGAAAACTTCCTTACTCCAGCGTGTTTCAGGAACTAAAAAAACGCCTGGAATCGTTGTCCGCAAGACATAACGATAGCAACGCATCACGTTTGCAGCGCGCAAAGTTAATTCAATCACAAACTCAGCACCGCCTGCTGTGCCTCATCCAGCACATGCATCTGATGCTACCTACCGTCCGGTCTACGGCGATACGTCCCGAAGAAGAGGCGCTGCGTCTAGCGCTAGAAGAGATTGAAGAAGAAATAAGAAGACCAGGTGGGATGAGTAAGATGCGGGGAAAGCTGAATGAGCTGTGGGCGCTCGTAGGTGCTATCAACGCTGCGCGCGAGAGAGGCAGAAGAGTGGGACTTGATGGCACCTCTGAATGGACAGTCGTTGATGAGGAGGGCCTAAAGCAGATCGCTCAGGTAAGGCTCTGCTTGTAATCTTTGAGCTTTGACTTTGACATGGCACGTTGCAGATCTTGTCCAATCAGCAAGCTGGTTTACAGCATTTGACGAAGGTGTTGCAACGCGATCTGAAGGACTTGGAGGTGATATATGGAAGAGAGAGCTAAATAGAATCGTTCGAGCATATTGCTTTTGTTACTATGATGATGAGCCTCACATTATTTTTGTAATTGAATAGATAGAATTGTAGGTAGACAACAATCGATCATGAGCGTGCGAGTCGGCCACACCTGGGTCTTGTACATAAGGAGCCTTTGATTCCGATCCGTATTAATTACTTTCAGTCTGTGAACAAATGTTCCTCCTCCTGTAGCGCTCAGGATCTTTCATTCTACTAGCTACCATAATCCCTCTCTGAGCTCAGTAGTACAGTCAAAAAATGCGTTACCGCACCCTCGAGATTCGATGGCATGATTCCAAGCCCATATCCACTTGTGACTTTCAACCTGTCCCATTCAAAAAAGCGCGTCCAACGCAGGAGAAGAATTTTGCTGCGCAGTCCTATAGGCTGGCTACAGGAGGCGAGGACAACCACGTTAGAGTGAGTGAGCCTGCACTGGTACGTCCAGCGCGCTGACCAACGTGGGCTGGAAAAGATATGGATGGTGCACCCGAACATCCTCCCGTCGTCTCTTGCAGAAGGTGCAGATGGCGCTGCGCCACGCCCTGCTCGGGTTGAATATCTTGCAACACTCAGCAGACATTCGGCTGCTGTAAACGTCGTTCGATTCTCCCCTAACGGTACGTATCTTACGCACGCGCCTTGTCAGCCCTGGCCACTTCGTTAACGCGACTTTAGGGGAATTCATTGCCTCCGCTGGAGATGGTACGGATCTTAAATATTTTGCTGATCCTATTTGACGCGAGATTATTGAAAGACGGCATGATCATCATCTGGGCACCTTCAAGCACGCCGCAGACCGCCACGTATGGTAGTGATCTGACTGCGGACGAATTGCAATATGAAAAAGAGTACTGGAAGCCGCGTACGACGTTCAGGTAACTTTCATGCGCAATTTCAGATCGAGTTGGAATAAAACATGGGACAGGTGCACATCTATGCAGGTGTATGACCTAGCGTGGAGTCCAACTGGGGAATACATTTTAGCCGGCAGTACGGACAACTGCGCGAGGGTGTTTTCTTCCAGTGATGGTGGGTTTTTTTTTGCGTTATTGCTGTGGGGAATACAGGCTCATTGGCTTAGGCAAATGCGTCTGCGAGATCGCCGAGCACAACCATTATGTCCAAGGCGTAGCATGGGACCCGCTCAACGAATATATCGCAACACAGAGCAGTGACCGTTCGATGCACGTGTATCGGATCTCGACCAAGCAGGGCACGTTCGAAGCCCATGCTGTGGGCAAGAATACACGAATGTCTTACACCCACAATCACAGCCGCACCCCTAGCTCGCACAGCCGTTCCAGGTCCTACAGACATGAGTCTGCTGTTAGTGATGTAGAGTCTACTGTCAGTGATCAGCACAAAGATGATGTTCTTTTCTCTGGCAACTACGCTCCTCCGACACCGACCGCGTCGGTAGTCAGTACCCCATCCACATCGATGTTCCCTCCTCCGCCGATTGAGAGACCATCTTCGAGACGGTCTTCATTCAGCGGATCTAATGCCCCTGGCTCTCCTGGGCAATATGCACGATATGGGAGATCTCCTTCTCCTATGCCACCCCTTCCCGCAATCCGTGCGCTTCCTTCTCCCGCATGGTCGACTATTAAACTCTATGGAGATGAAAGTTTCTCGAACTTCTTCCGCCGCTTAACGTTCAGTCCAGATGGGGGTCTCTTGCTAACCCCCGCAGGGCAATTTGAGGATCCCAGCATCATTACCAACAAGCCCAAGGCCGAGGAAACTCCTACTCGTGGACGTAAATCCAAACTTGCAATTACCACGAGCGAAACCAACCCTTCATCGGCATCGTCGGTGTTCATTTATTCAAGGGCGAACTTTGCCCGTCCTCCTATAGCCCAGTTACCGGGACATCAGAAAGCCAGCGTGGCTGTCAAGTTCTCCCCTGTGCTTTATGAATTGAGACAAGATGTCGTTGGTGCAGAGGGGCATAACGAACCTAAGACAGGAACTCTAGAAAAGGGCAAGGATGGGTCGATTTCTGTTGATATTGCTGGGCCTTCTGCGACACCTGCATTTCACAAGGGAGTATCTGCACATTCTCCAAAGGTGGAAAAGAATTTACATGTCGAAGCGCCTACGCCTCATGCTGTGGCTCCCGAATTAGTTATGCCTGCATCATCGCTGAAGCCTTCTACGCCATCGCCATCGAAGCCCTCTACCCCGGCGATCGCTCCACTCAATACTGGCTCCGTGTTTGCGCTGCCTTATCGCATGCTTTACGCTGTTCTGACCATGGATGCCGTTGCCATCTACGATACCCAACAATCTGGACCTGTTTGCATGCTCACGAAGTTGCACTATGATGAATTTACGGATGCATCGTGGTATGTGATGGCTATTTCTGGCTGCTGGTATCTATATTGAATTATTCAATAGGTCTCCTGACGGACAGTGTCTTATCCTCTCATCGCGAGATGGATACTGTACGATCGTGATCTTTGATGAAATTTTACCTGTGCATCACACTCAACAATATGCATTACAACTTCAGTACATCGCGCAACATAACTTCGTGCCCCTCACATACACGATGACACCCTCGTCTTCCTCAGTTCCACTGGCTGCTATTGCGACGCCTACTATTCCTGCAAAGAGGAACGAGCCGCCTCTCACGCCTGCTACTAGCATTGACGACAGTCCCTCTGCGGGCAGGAGTGCACCAGAAGTCATACCTGCGAAGTTGGCACAACCCCCAAAGAAAAAACGCCGCCTAGTGTTGACGAAGGTTGGGGATATCGATTCATGAAGGATGGTTTGCGTCCCTCGATATTGCGTGACGTTTCAACGAGTCTATGATACATTATGATTTTTTTTAGTGATTTCTTGTCTTGTTCACTATGTCCTCCCCATTTGGGCTTGTATGGAGTATTCACCTCGTGCTTCTACAATCAGACCATGTATTAAGGGTTCGATATGCGTGATGATGATGATGGATGTAGCAATGGACGTAGCAAACAACTTCCTGATAATACAACGACAGCTTATTGCGCAGTTGCCTTTCTCCTGCCAACCTGGGCCTGGAAACCACTCTTAATCGCGTTGACGGATCGACGTGAGCCGCAGGACTCGCAGGACATGAAGAAAATACGGTTCTCCTTTGTGAGGAGCGTGTCTGGTGATTTACATGTCTTGCATGTCACATACTCGACTTTGACAATATTAGCGCTAAGCATGAAAAGCGCAGTGTCATTAAGCTTACCGATATAACGACGCAAAACATTCTCGACTTGTTTGGGTTGGAAACGACCTTTGATGACCAGACGTCCTGAACCGTCCACTGAACCAGTGGTACCCATTTCAGCGAAGAGGAATTGAATGACATGCTCCGGCTGTCTGTGCATCCTCTTGCAGATATCTGCAACGTTTGCAAATATTGATTTACGGACACCCTCACGGAGAATTTGTGGAGGTGCGATCGTGTATCGTTTACCGGTGGAAGTGAGTAATGATGGATTTGCGGCATGAAGGGAGGCGTAAAATCGTGTTAGGAGCTTATGATGAAGGTTAATATAGGTCAAGAAAAGGTATCATAGCAAATGCACATACCTCTGGGTAAGTATAATCTCGGTCGCTCCCAAGCCATGGTTCTGTGCCAGACTCAATGCCTGTAGGTGCTTCATTGCGTGCAAATGGGTCGTCCCCAAGATCTGCTTCATCTAGTTCATTAAGATGCTCTCCGTCGTCGGCTTCAGCTTCCTCAGCCTCATCTTTTGCTTTTGCCTCATTAAGCTCCTTCTCGAAGTCTTCCATTGCTTTTTTCTTTGTTGATTTCTTTTTCTTCTTGATGTCGGAGAAGTCGAGATCTTCTGTAGCGGCGGGTGCAGCTGCAGGCGATGCTCCTGAGCCATCTTCGCCCTGATACCATACGCATATAAGATCGCCAAACATGGGCTTGACATGAGATTACTCACAAGGTCCATAGGGATGTCTTTCTTCTTCTTTTTCTTCTTGAGACCATCTGGAAACATGGCCTTGAAATCATCGTCTTCCTTTACTTCATCGGCAGCATCAACACGATCTGGTGCCCCATTGAGACTTTGCTTCATCTGCTCATGTGCGGTGGTAGGACCGAGATCGACAACATCTCCGTTGGTAGTTGTATTCTCGATAGTGGTTGGTGCAGGTGTAGTAGGATCTGCTTCAGGACCTAACGGGTCCTCGGTGAAAGCTACAGCTTTCTTCTTGCGCTTTTTGAGCGAAGGATCGAACAATGGCTGTTCTGCTGCCATGGTGGTCGACGCGTAAGATGGGCTTGCTCGTTGATGAGTACGTTGAGCAAGATATGACTCTATCAATGCCGAGATCCGGCAATGCGAATCTGAGCTCCGATCGGATATCGCCGGAAGTCGGTGAAGTATGTTGGGCTACTCGGAATTCGGTCGCGCACCAAGGTTTGACCACTTTTCAATGTTAGCAAGGCGTTCACTTGCCCGTATCGCAACCCAGCCCTCCCCGCTGGGAGCTGCTCCCAAAAATGCCCGCAACATGGCTACGTTGCGTGAAATCGAGCTACGGTTGAAGTCGGTCAAGAATATCGAGAAAATTACCAAGGTGCGCCGACGTGTTGTTTTTTGTATTATTTCTGGGCGTTGACCGCGGATACTTGTTATGATGTACAGTCCATGAAGATGATTGCTTCCACCAAGCTCGCAAAGGCGCAACGTGCCATGCAGAGCGGCAAGCAGTACGGTCTTGCTAACTCCGGTGCGTCCCGTAGACTGTATATCCGCTTCCGTATTCTCAAAACAGCCCAGAGATATTCCAGCATACTCCTTTAGAAACCCCTGCAAAGCGCAAGCTTTTTATCGTCGTCTCCTCCGACAAGGGTCTCTGCGGTGGTATCCATTCTTCCGTGTCCAAGGCCACCCGTCGTGCTATTGCTGACACTGAGAAGCCTGTCGACTCCGACTCTCCCATCATGGTCATCGGTGACAAGTCCAAAGTACAACTGTCACGTGTACTCGCCAAGAACTTGGCCATGTCCTTCAACCAAATTGGCCGTGACATCCCCACATTCGCTGACGCTGCTGGCGTTGCCGACTTGATTGTGAAGAGCGACGTCAAATACGACGGGATTTCTATCGTTTACAACAAATTTGTCTCTGCTGTCGCTTACGAGCCTGAAATAGTTGAAGTTGTGGGCGAGAATGCATTGAAGGAGTCTGGTATGGATAACATGTTACCAAGTCTTGTTGTTGTGACTCATACGTTTCTAGCTGGATTCCGGGCCTACGAAATGGAGGACGACGTTACAAAGGACCTCGCCGAGTTTTCACTTGCAAACGCCATCTATGCCGCTCTTGTTGAGGCTCACGCATGCGAGCAGAGTGCCCGGTACGTTGATCTGGTAAACTTTTACGTCATATCATTCAACATTTTTGGGTACAGTCGCAACGCTATGGACAATGCATCAAAGAACGCAAAAGACATGATTGACCGACTGACGATGCAATATAACCGTGGCCGTCAAGCTGCCATTACCAACGAGTTGGTTGACATTATTACCGGTACGCTGAATTTTGTCCCCGATACCACGCATTTATTTACGACGAATGTACAGGTGCCAGTGCACTGTAGGCAGGTGCCGTGGTTGTTTTATACATACCAAGTCATTACCCCTGTCTACATTGATAGTGAGACACTTGGATTTTTTTCTGCTGTGAAGTTACGTGTGCGCGACCAATGTAAGATGTACAACAAATACAAGAGGGCAAAGGTATTGTGATGAAGTTTGTTTCCAGCATACGGATTCCCGGGGCTCGAGACATGATCTTGAGCCACTTATCTCAGCTCGGTGCTTAGTCTATTGTCATCACATCAGATTCAGACCCACGAGGCAGATAATATCTATCCTGGGGTAACCTGTGGGTACACGCGTGGGTATTCTCCAACAGAACTTGTTTGAGGTTAGGTTTATCGTCGGCTCTTGCAGGAGATAACGTCAAGACATGAAAACATGGTCGCGGTACAGTCAAAATGGAATGGATACAGCGAAGAAAAAATACAACGGTGTCAACGATGGTCCCGTATCATAAGAATTCGTAAAAATCATCAATGTTTCGATTTTTTATCTATCCTGTCTGGATACAACTATTCGTTCTGCGTTAGCACCAAACTCCTGACACGCGATCTGACTCACCTTTCCGGGGTTGAACAAACCAAGTGGGTCTAGGGTCCTCTTGACGGATCGCATTAACTCCACCGTTCCCTCACCGAGTTCTTCGTACAGATATTCCCGCTTCCCAATCCCAACACCGTGTTCGCCAGTGCCTGTAGACATAAGATCACCACCCTCGTGCATGTAGCAGTGAAGACGTACAAGTGCCTTCAAGCTTTATCGCACGCTCCACCATCCTATGCACGGCTTCGCGAACGCTTTCGAGCTCCTTATCATTGCGGAAAAGAAGCTGGGTGTGAAAATTGCCTGGGTGTGATGTTGTCAATGAGAAAGACGATACAATGCGAAGTGTGTGGGTACTAACCGTCACCAACGTGTCCTACAACTATTGATACAAGGCCTAACCGTTCCAAGTCTTTCTTGGTTTCATACACGAGTTGTGGTAGTTTCGAGACTGGCACGCTGCAGGCAGAAAACATAAGACGCGCCTGGACTTGCAGTAGCTTGGGCTTACCAAACATCAGTGCTCCACCCCCGACTTCCTTCCAGGAGGGCCAAACCAGAATAAAGAGCGTTTTTTCTGTCTGCCCACAGGTCATGTGCTTCTTTCTCAGAACGTGCCAATTCAAAACCAGTGCCGCCGTGCTTCTGCACAATTTCCTTTACGATCTTAGCGGTCTCCGCGATCGAAGCAGACGTTGGACCTTGGAATTTGAAAAACAGAGAGTCCTGTTCAGGGTATTTGCGCTGGGATGCACCAAATAAATTTATAGAACGCATGAATTCAGAGTCGCAGAGTTCAACGCATTCTGGATCCTGGAGGTGAGCGTGTTGCTTGATCAGGAAGGGATGACCTACGGATCCCAACGCCGCGGTTCATCACATCGATGACGGCCTCCGTTGCACGTTTCACATCAGGGAAGTGTACGACAGCGACTGTTGTTGGGAGGACGGGAGCTAACCGGATAGTGACTAACAGAAGTGTCAAGAGCAATCGACAAGAGCAAGATACGTGATATCACCTTCTGTGATGATACCAAGAGTGCCCTCGGCACCGATGAACAACTTTGTGGTGTCGAACCCAGCTGCAGATTTCCGAGCACGTTGGCGAGTTTTGATGACTTCTCCAGAAGGAAGAACAACCGTCTATAGTGATACTCAATCAGCCAATTCAAATATCGTCAAGGGAACTAATGCATACCGCATTCAAGAACCATTCGCCTTTTGCAGTACCGTACCGGACGGCATTCGCTGCCAAGGTCAACACGTCAATAATCGTACCACCGATTTATGACTGCTGATACGTACTGCCTGAGCAACCAGTGCTCATCATGCCACCGATAGTGGCGCCTGGGCCGGGATCCAACTATGTAAGTAAAAATTGTCAGATGACGATACAGCGTCAATGTCAGAACGTACGGGAAAGAATAATGGTATGCCTTTCAAGGATGTGAGTAACGCGACGAAATTTGCATTGCGGTCTTACCTTTCTTCTGCAAAGTCTCGTTAATTTCCATCCATCCGACACCGGGCTGGCAAACAAGGTCTGAGTCCGCCTCTGGGTTGGAAGAATATTGAGTAGTATTCGAAGAAAGATGCATGACACACTCACCATGAATTTCGATAATCTTATTCATGTCAGACATATCAATACAAATACCACCGACAGGGCTCTAGAGAACCACCGTCGTGAGCATGAATGACTTTGAATAGGAATCGACTCACGCCACGATAGCTTCCCTCTAAGGAGGTACCACCAGAGAAAGGGGTGAGGGGCATACGGTACTTGACGGCAGTCTTGACGATTTTAACTACATCCTCTGTACTCCTTGGGTATACAATGACAGTATGCGGTGCACCTGGAAGACTAACATGAGTTTTGGAATGCGAAGCTCGGCCGAATGGAAGCCCTTACTTGGGTGGTAATCATTCTCTGAGTATCCGTGAATGCGAAGGTCATCCGGATGAGTTGAGACAGCATCATCTAAATCCAATAAATTCCGAAGTTCCTTGATGGCCTGTTCAAAGTCCTTCGGGCTGCCATACTTTGGTTCCGTCTCCTCGAGAGCCTCGGATGTTAGAGAAGGCTTCCAAAACGCACTGAGAGAATATCCGATAAGCCCACTAGCGATAGAGCCAATGACAATTGGAGACCAGGAACGTGGGCTCTTCAAGGGCACGCTCGAACTCTGTCGACGGACAAAGGTCATTGCATGTTGTTTGATAGATCTGGAACGACCCAAGTTTGTCGACAGGCTGGTGGACGGCCGCAGCCGCTGGAAGCAGCTGGCTGGAAACATGTGAGGGGAAGTGTAATATAGTGGTGACCTATGGGCTGCGAATATTGTTAGATCCCTAGAAATTGTGAAGAACAACGTTGGAAGAGTGGAAAAATCAGAACTGCTTTGGTCGGTACATAAGACTTAGTAGTACGGGAATAAGACCACTATTATTAGGCGATTCGGCAGATTGTATCTTGGATCGCCTGGGAAGAGCAGGCAGCTGATTGGTAGGCTGACCCGCTCAGAAAAGTAATAACAACTTTGTCTGGATTCCGAGTCTGGAGGACGTAAATTTCACCAGTTAATTATGGAAAGCAAAATTTAGTGAGTAGTAGTGAGTACCAACTCCGATTACATAATATCGAACAACGCGAGTCTAATCATCTAATAGACTCACTCTCAACAGCCTTACGCTTTTGAGTACATGAAGCACTGACAACCTCATTTTCCTTCTCCTTGTGAGTCTTTTCACGTCGGCATGAATGTAGACGAATTCGCGAACTCTTTGAAAGATAACAACTCCAATTCCGTAATATTGAACGAGTCTAATAATAGACTCCCTCAGGCTCTCGATCTCATACTACATTCAAGAACTTCATTGCTCTAGTAGCAGTAAACAGAAGCAAGCATTCCCACTTAATTACATGTGGCTCCATTAACCATACTGCACCGATGACCACTGTAGTCTGTAGCTCATGGGACCTCAGATCCATGGTGTACACACACCTCCGACTCCATCATACCGTGACTCTCCTGGCTACCACGCCAGTCAGTCAACAAATCCTAGACGAAACTATTCATACCCACCTCAACAGAATCGACTGAGTAGCAATAATAGCCATCGCAGCAATCTTTGCCTGAATTGCAAGGCTCATCGATTGGTGTGCAGTCACTGTCAACACTGACAACCATGGATACTGCTAAGGCAGCAACAACGGCGAGGACGACTTGGAAGGAGAGATGCATTATTTGTGAAATGTGTTCTTGGAAGTACACTGGTAGGAGACGGTGTGCATTTATACTCCTCTACGCAGAGCTTATAACAAATTTCATTTGATGTGCCAGCAGATTGCTGACGGAAATTTGTGAAGCACTTCATATAAACTAATTACATGTGGTTCTATCAACCACGTTACATCAACAGGAAGCAGAAACATGACTCACCGTGGCTCATCCAATCTCACATGCATATGGCACGCCAGTGAGTCAATTAAAACTACTCATACTTACAACTTGGTGGAGTACTAGGTCTAGCGTGCATGAAAAGCCAGTGCAGCAATCTTCCGCGACTGGGTGGCAAATCCCGCCACCTGTTTGGCATTCACTGTCAGCACTGACAGTCATGGACGTTATCAAAGCAGCAGCAACGGCGAGGACGACTCGGAAGAAGAGACACATTATTTGTGAGATGCAATACAGGATGGATCTTGGGAATAAAATTGAAGGGGGACGGTAGGACGACGGCTTGCTTTTATGTCCTGAATACTATCCTGTGCAGACCCTGATCACTTGAAATTTACTTTTAAACAGATACCATTTAGAATGCCAGCAGACCTCAATTATGACTGAATTATCTCCAATATCTTATTGCGAGGCAGAAGAACAGTGCTCCCGTAAATGGGCAGCCTGGTTCCGGTCATCCAAAAATTGAGGATCGATGTTCGGACGTGGAGACCACGCCTCTCGGCTTATATTCGGGGGTACTAGAAGAGTCCCAGGACAGGTAACGTACAATTCCAAACCGTTGCTGTATACATCCTACGTTACTAGGCGACACAGTGATCCGGCAGAAACTGAATTGAGAACTTCAGGCGTCTCATGGATGCTGAGAAAATTTCAGAGTCTTGTCATGCATCAGGGAACGCGAAACATGATACTGGCAGCCGATGCTTTGGAGATCAAATCCCAAAAGAGAGTGCGCTCCCTAGGTCTGTCAATGTCGTTAATGCACACTAGAGTATCATCAAGAAACAAAGATAGACCCCGACGTTGGTTCTCCACCGAGATGCAACTTTTTTTCAGAACGGGTACAGAAGCACTAGACACGATGTACCTGTTTATGTCAGAGATGTGTACGACAGCGATGGTCTCATCTCGCAGCTTTATACCCCGTCCTAACATCTGGTATTACAGGAACAAACCTCCAAGCTCTAATCGACGCCCAAAACCATCCCTTTCCGATACTAACTTCCACACGCAGCCTCCTCTTCACGTTACGTCCTCCGATCACCATCGCCTACCCATCCTTCTGCCCATCCTCCCAGTGATGCATATCGTAAGCGAGATATTTCTTGATATGCTCTGGAGACGCTGATTGCAGACGAGCAACTGCTTAAGCCTGAGCTGCCTGTGACTAGTATTCGCCGAGCGTTGTTTGAGTAGTTGGATGGCGTCACGGTCCATGCTGGCGGGCGCCGCTTCCAGAGTTGAAGAAGCCAATTGTGGCAGCCATCTCAGGAGGCAATGGAGTCTGACGAGGATAGGATGATGCAGAATGAAGCAGAATGTCCCATCGGATGTTTCAAATTCACATTGAGTTCTAACTTGCGCACTTTATCCTGCAGGAAGAAATAGGGAAGCAATAGTATAGTAACGATGGAAGGAGTGCATGTAAACGTAGTGAATGAAATCTTCGTGCAGCCGAAACTGTTTTGTAAGAGTTCGTCATAGAAGATATTGTATGAAATCCGTAGAATGTCCATAAATCTTAAGTCGATTGACATACGTACATGCAGTCTGACTGACAGATACAACCGCGAAGGTAATGCAATCTACTACTGTTCGCGACACTTGTACCATGATGTGCCGTGTGCGACACGACTCAAGTCCAGCTGTGGGGTATTGTTAGGAATCACCAGTATATTGCCTGGGGCATACAGAGCGCCTGAGTACAAAGTGAGCGGGATCCAGAGAAGTAGCCGTTCTTCAGGATCTACAACCCATCCCTCCTCGTAAGTATAGGATAGGGCTGAGGTTTCAGAACCTTGGAGAAAGGAGGAGGCGGAATAAAGGGCATGAGTCGGGTTGGATGAAAAACATATTGCAGGTGCTTCGAATGATTGGTGCTGCCGGATCATAAACTCTAGATCCCACACGCGAATGGTGTTGTCGGACGACCCAGACACGATGCATTTGCCATCAGGCGAAATTGCAACAGACAGAACGCGTCCGGTGTGCCCTCGAAAAGGAGGTCCCACTGCCTCTCCAGTCTTCATATTCCACACCTGGACGGTCTCGTCATCCGAGCCAGATACGATGCGATTACTATCTGAGGATATCGCAACAGTGTTAACCCAGTCAGTGTGGCCTTGGAGAGGGGCACCCAATAACTCGCCAGTCCCCATATCCCACACACGGATAGTCTTGTCACCTGAGCCAGATACAATGCGACATAAATCCGGCGAGATTGCAACAGAGAGGACATGACCAGTGTGGCCTTGGAGACGGGCACTCGATGCCTTGCTAGTCCCCATATCCCACACCTGGATTGTTGTGTCATCCGAACCAGACACTATGCGACTTCCGTCCGATGAAATTGCAACAGACCGAACCCAGTCGGAGTGCCCACTGAGAGGATATGCTTCACCAGTCTCAATATCCCACACCCGGATTGTGTCGTCATCTGAACCAGACACAATACAGTTGCTGTCCGGCGAGACTGCGACAGACCGGACATAGTGAGTGTGACCTTGTAGAACACCCGATGCCTTCCCAGATTCCACATTCCACATGCGAATGCTCTTATCCCCTGAACCAGACACAATGACCTTCCCGTCCGGCGAGATTGCGACCGACAGAACATAATTAGTGTGTCCTTGGAGAGGGGCCATTAATGCCTTGCCAGTCTTTATATCCCACACCCGAACCGTCCTGTCGTCCGAGCCAGACACGATGGAGCATCCATCCGGCGAGATTGCAACAGAGTTGATGGAGTCGGTGTGGCTTTCGAGGGCGGCAACCGATGCCTTTCCCGTGATGGTGTCAGCATCCCACACCCGGATGGTCTTGTCCTGTGAACCCGAGACTATGCGACTTCCATCCGGCGCGACTGCAACAGACCAAACCAAGTCAGTGTGGCCTTGAAGAGGGGATCCCACTGCCTCGCCATTCTTCGCATCCCACACTCGGATCGTCTGGTCATATGAACCAGACACAATACGATTTCCATCCGACATGAATGCAACTGACTTAACGTCGTTCGTGTGGCCTTGAAGTGGGGCACCCAATGCCTCGCCAGTCTCCATATCCCACACCCGAATCGTCTTGTCTTCTGACCCAGACACGATGTGTTTCCCACCAGGCGAGATTGCGACAGAGTAAACAGTGCCAATGTGGCCTTGGAGAGGGGAGCCTAATGCCTCGCCGGTTTCCATATCCCACACCCGGATTGTCCTGTCATATGAACCAGACACAATGCGTGTCCCATTTGGTGAGATTGTGACAGACCGAACAACGTCTGTGTGGCCTTTGAGTGGGGAACCAAATGCCTCGCCAGTCTCCATGTCCCATACCCGAATTGTCTTGTCGGCTGATCCAGACACGATGCGTTTTCCATCCAGTGAGATTGCGACAGACCAAACATAGTGAACATGGCCTTGGAGAGGGGATCCTAGTGCCTCGCCAGTCTTCGCATCCCACACCCGCACTGTTTTGTCAGATGAACCTGAAACGATGCGACGTCCATCCGGCGAGAATGCGACAGACCAAACATAGCCAGTGTGTCCTTGAAGAGGGGGGCACAATGCCTCGCCGGTCTCGATATCCCACACTTGGATCGTTCGATCATCTAAACCACATGCAATCCGTTTTCCGTCTGGTGATAATGCAACCGAGTTAACCATGTCATTCGCATGGAGTATCTTCTCCATCTGAGGCCAATTCTCGACGTGGCCAGCAACGATGCGAGGGGTGCAAGGAAACTTCGAGGCGAACTTGCGAAACATTATTGACTGTGTTGGAGCGAATGGCAGAGCGGACAAGTATAAATGGGGAGTGCTGCGTAAGATGGTGGTCGCAAAAGTTCGGACGAAACGTAGGGTATCCCTGGTAGCGTGACTAACATGCGTGAACTCGGCTTGACCCTACGACCACCCGCTACTGGTAAGAATTCATTGGGAAAATAATGAGCTTGAGCTACGCACCGAAACCCATTTTTCGATGGATGAGAGGGTCACTACAGAGCCGCCGAGGGTTTTCATCAGAGCCAGTGCTTCTAACCACCAAAGGAGGCGCTCTCCATCGAAGAAAGCTTCAACTTCCTTAGCAAGCGATGATTCGAATGATGCAGAGCTGACATGAGTTCCCCAAAATCGGCATGAGTATGATAGCTCAGCCGGAATGGATTCTTTGACTCGTTTCTCTAAATCGGGGACAGAAGAGTTAGGCAAGTACGAATTCTCCAAGGAGCAGATGTTGAAGCGAAGTCCGTGCTTCATGACCCGAAGCGAGGTAAAGGCAAGGTTGCTCTGTACCGAAGACACATCGACGAAGAAGTCATGGCTCCGCGATTCGTCTGTGAGAAAGTCGTAGAAGGATGCGTGGAGGGGACGAATGGGAGTATCAAAATCCGCAGTCCCTGTCAAAAGCGAGCCCATTGGTCCAATCACCCGGTCCACTGTGTAACGTTCTTCTTGACGTGGAAAATGTAGTCGTATGGCGGTCAACGCAGTCATGGGGAGCGGTTCAGGCGATGCAACAATTTGCGCCATCACTGAACGGAATTTGGCGATTGCTCTCTTGTCCTTTGGCATGAGGTCTGTCAATATGAGTCTGTACATATCATCCAACAGATATGTGTCAGTTTGAAAGCTAGGTGTTCTAGCGAGTACATCTTCATAGCGTTCAATAGGATCCACGCCCACTTCGTTCGACCCGATATATACGCAGGCGAGACGAGCCCATTCAAACAGACCGTCGGATTTCTCAGCAAGCATCTTGAAGTGCCCATCGTCAAATCCATGGCTTGGGCCAGCTAGCTTATCGGAGATGTAAAGGTGGATGTCGTGTTCCGTGGACGCATTTGGAATATCATCTATGGAGATATGACGGACATTTGGCGTGGGGCCCAGGATGTTGCGAATGTCTCCCAGTGGACGGGAGGTGATGAGGATACGGAGGTTTGCTGGAAGGTCTGTTGGTTGCGAGGAAGAAGTCCGTAGCTTTCCAGCAAGTAGACGAAGAATCTGCTCCCGGGAAGTTGCGTCACCGCTCTCGTCTAATGCATCAATCACGATTAGGACGGGTGCAGCGACGTCTTGTTTGTTCCAGGCCATTAGTGTTGGTCCTACGACCAACTCCTGCCACTGCCTGGCGACATCTACAGTGTGCTTCAGCTCATTGTGATCGTGAAGCGCATGCGCCAACGCTTCCCGTATGATAGGATTGCGATCAGCCAAGTCACGTGCAATTGTGGTGAATATCTTCTGGTGGAGTAGATCTGCTCCCCGTGTACGGTCGAAGCAGAAGCATGCTCCCAGACCCCCGAGCTCGTTAGACCAGTTGGCTATTGTATGGGCGATGGCTGATTTTCCTCTCCCTGCTGTGCCAGACAACCATAAGACACGCGGCACGTCCTTCTCAGTACTGCCAATCCAAGACTTGATCTTCGTCAAAAGCTCGTTCCGAGTATCTGGCAGACAACACTTGAAGGTATTCAGTCCAGCACCAGCTGCATACTCCATGTCCCTGAGGTCCCGATCCTCGGCTAGGTCACGGATCGTGGAACGTCAGAGGTTTGACGGTGAGTTTGAGGCTGATCCTTACCTAAACCTGCCAGGACGATCGCGGCATCGCCAATCACTTGGTCTCGGAATTGCTGCATGAGGTTGTCGAGAACATCACTGTGACTGCGAATCTCGGCATCCGTGTCCCTGAAGACGTGCTTGCCAAGTCGTTTCCCTGAACAAAGAGAAAAGAGATCACACTAAGTGCCAGGCAATGACGCAGTGGTATGGACTCACCGAAACTTTTCGTCTCCGAGTAATGGACGATGAATTCCGCGCACTCCAGCGTCTGCTGCGCTATCTTTGTGTATGTATTGATCATAGACGAAATGTTGGCCAACGCCTTCTTTTCTATCACTAAGACAAAGACATTGGAGACTTTAGAGAGCAGATCGG